GCTGCTTTAGCCAATCCCAGGAGACCTCAAACTCCTCCCATCTTCTAACTATCCCCACTCAAGATGGTTGCTTCCCTGGCTTAAGCTCTCAAAATGGAGGTTTGCCATACTGTTATCCAGGCTTCCTTTCCGGCCTACTAGGTAAGATTCACTACAAGTGGTCTATTGGAAAAAAAAAACATCCCCTTGACCAGGCGCTCTATTTTTCAGTCTGTAGGGTTTGAGTGTGTTTCCCTAAAGAATGGGTAAAATGTATTGCCAACTCATCTCTTTTAGCGTGGCTGATATTTTGAAATGTTGCGAGAGAAAAACAAATTTGCAATGAGAAATGTTGGTACTGTTCCATTATCCGGTCAGAGGTCACAAGGGGGCAATAGACAGAGAAGTTAGTCCATTTTATGGGCCGGGGGGGGGGGGGGAGAAGGTTGAAGGAGTTAAACCATTTCCCCACATCCATGTTTCCATTGTTGAAACAACCATTGTTTATGATATGGGAAATGGGAGGAGGGAATAACCAGCAAAAACGGGGAAAATCCCCCCCCCCCAATAAAATGGACTATCCTTTTCTGTCTAGACCAGTGGTTCTCAACCTGTGGGTCCCCAGGTGTTTTGGCCTACAACTCCCAGAAATCCCAGCCAGTTTACCAGCTGTTAGGATTTCTGGGAGTTGAAGGCTAAAACATCTGGGGACCCACAGGTTGAGAACCACTGGTCTAGACCCCATTCTGGAGTCCACCTGGATAATGGAACACTAACACACTTTCTAATTCCAATATAGTCAAATAAATTTCAAGTAAGTCAGCATGGGTCCTCGTTTGTTTGTTTAGAGTAATTATACCTTATAGTCCGTTAAAAGGGGCCCTCAATGTGGCTTACAAATCATTAATTAAAATATTGTTATCAGTTCATGCACATTCTGATTATCTGTTAAGCCAGCTATTAAAGAGCTTATTTTTTATTAGAACTATCTCTTCACTATGAAGTGATCTAAGCCAAAATGACAAAAATGCAGTCAGCATATAAAGGGAAGTAACCAGATTGCTGATGTTATTATTGTTTATGATGCTGATGTTCTTAGAACAACTTTTCTACTGAAAATTCCTTCTGGTTTCCTTAAATTAATTCCTGGATTCATCACAGCCACCCTTGGTTTCAGTGAGGAATAAGGATTCGACCTAAGAATTCCTTAGTGGAGCTTGGGACAATAAGCAGTAGTCATGCTTCTTGCTCTTTTTTCCTATTGTTATTATAAAGGCACCCCCTCGATTGCTCACTGTTTATGCACTTACACTATTTCTCACACATTTATTGTGGTGCTTTCCTTAATTTGATATCACGCTGTGTCCCTATGGGATGCTATTCATACGTTATATCAGTGATCTCAGAGCTGAACTCCCAAAGGTTTCTCTTACAAATGACTCCTAACAGATGTGTGGCACACTTTATTAACTTAAGTACCCATTAGTTGAAAATTTCATTAGTTTGAGGGGAAAGGGGATCAGTTTCATCAATAGACCTGGTATGGGTGGATTCTTTGTGTCAACCTGACCCATATCAAAATGGATTATTGTTGTAAGTGAGACAAGTGACCTAATGTTCTGCCTATTATGCACACATGATCTATAACCTTTTAAAATACTAGTGTGGGAAAACCGCACACTTCAGTGAATCCCCAAACCATAGATTCTTAACAGGTGGCAGTCCCTCACTTAGCAACATTTGTTAGAGAATCTATGTGTGTGTGTGTGAATTATCAGGGGGTACATTTTCTAATAAGGTAACCAAGGGGAAATCAGACCAGAAAATGAAAACAGGACAACGCATAGTACAAGATACATCTTAATGAGCTCAGATGGACCCAGTGGAACTTTGTACACAGTGCCACCATCTGACCAGTGGGGAAAATCCACTTTAGAAGGCTTCTCCAGGAAGGTATCTTCAAACTAATGCACAATATGGAAAGTAAAAACTCTGGTGATACCATGGAAAATAGTAGAAATGACCACGGGTAATGATTTGTAAGCATCAATGACTGCAAACCACTATAACATATCCTTTGATGGGGAAGGGTTATCCTGGTGAGAGTGTCACACTAAGGAGACCCATTTTCATGTTCCCACCAAGCCATGAAATCCACACAGTGACCAGAGATCAGCTATTCTCTCTTAGGGCTGCTGCTGGTGGTATGAACTGGAGTAGAGCCTTATTGAGACCGCTGAAGTCAATTTGAGATATAAATGACAAAGAAACAAATACAAACATTATATGACATGGATGATCTATTGTCTGCACTATTTCTATCTAGCCTTTACTTTTCCAGGTGCTGGGACAGGAATCCAACTATTATTATCTACTTAATTTAGCATTGTATTTAGCTATTCATATGTTGCCTTTCAACTAAGATTGGGGCAAAAGGCTAAATGCATGAATTCTCTCTTTCGATTACAATCTGTAGTTCATTAGAACCCCAGGAGGTGCGCAAAGAGGCTGTTCCTCGTTGCTGTTTCTGAGTTCTTGTCCAAGGTCATGTTATCTGGAAGCAAGGTTACTAATACCAGCTTTTGCTAACCTAGGTTAAGTTGGAAAATGTGAGAGGTAATGAATATAAAGGGAGAGAGGTGAGAAGGAGTGATAAAAACACTACTACTCTACTTGATGAGAGAGATCTTTGATTGCACACATAGTATTTGTTCTGTTTAATTTGTTTATACCTGTAAAACAGGTGAAAAACTGATTTTTTTTTGTTGCTCATAGCCTACTTCTTCTACTGGTCACTAATCATTCTAACTGAGGCCGCTTCTACACTGCTATATAAAATCTGGATTATCTGCTTTGAACTGGATTATATGGCAGTGCAGACTCATATATCTGCTTTGATAATCTGGATTACATGGCAGTGTAGAAGGGTCCTGAGAGAAATGAGAACGGATCCAACTGAATCAGAGAGGACCATGGATCTCTCACCCCTGATCTCCCAAAACAATATACATTTTCTTTGTTATTAGACTATCCATGCATGAAGGAGTCATAGAAGAAAAGACATCTCTTTGAGGATGGTGATTATTACTATTTTGTCAGTTGATCTGGACAGCTAATGGTCAAAGATGGTATAGCAATGGTGTTGGGGGTCTAACCGAAACTGGTAATGTAAATCTTTGCTTATTTCATTCTCCCATACAATAATGAAGAAAAAATATCTGCAGTCAAGAGATTATGAAATTTAGCATAATTTCCAGTGCCCTTCCCCATCCAGATCTATAATTCCCCATGTTACTCTGGAACATTTTTGTTTCAGGAGGTAGGAGGAATCAGGAAAAATAACTTCTCTTCTTTCCTTCAGCAGGTACATTCTGTCGGCCACATTCTTCTGTAAGCAGAATTCAGAACCCATTTCTCAGAAAGTGTGTGTGGTGGGAGGGCACAGAGTTAAGGAAATGCTGGCCTGTTTAGATGTCGCTGAGATTCTCTTGGCTACTCTGCCAGCTCCTTAGCTTTTAACAAACATTTTCCAATAATAGATGCCATTTTTGATCCAGGGCCTTCAATGAATTTAACTATATTTGTAAATTTCTTTGAAAAAACCTGCCTGCGCCCAGTTCTTGCTGATTCTTTCAAAAAGAGTGTGAGAAAAGGAGAGTGTAGAAGTCTGGAATGGCGTGATTTGGATTAAACTCTAAAGCTGCAAAGCAGAAAGATAACATGGCTTCGTTTCAAGTAGACACTTACATAGTTTTGCTTGAGCTAAATTACTAACACTAATGACCTTATCACATGGGGGGCTACCCCCCATGCCATTTTACCAGCCTCTGTGATGAAACGGCAGGGATTAGGGGCAAGTCTATCACCCCATGTGCCACTTTGTCACACGGGAGAATCATCGCCAAAGCAGCGCAGATCCACACTTAATCCACCGGAGTCAGTACAACACGAGAAGGCTTCTGTGTTGTAAGGGAAGCGCCATATGACGCAATGACCAACCACCACTGAACCAGCAAGGAAGCATCCTAGGATGCTAAAAAAAAAAAACAACCCTGTGTTATGCAGTCATAAGTGTTACATCCAGTCTATTCATGCCTTCCTTTATATGTAAGTGTAAAGTCTTTATGATAGCAAGAAATGAGGACTTTTTCTTGGAAGGTGTCTGTAGAAGGTCAGTCTAGACTCCTGGCCTGGAAAGATAACCAAGAAATCTGCTAGAAATGTTGGTTGAATGCAGGCATGTAGCCGGGGTGGGGGCTTGAGGGGCTTCAGCCCCCCCCCCCCCCCGAAATTCTCATGGTGGTTTGCGAAAAGGCCTTACTGGTGCATTATTTAAACTGTTATGTTTATTCATATCATGATTTGATCACCATACTTAATATATCCCATATGCATGGGGGTATTGGGGTAACGATACAGAAGGTTTGCTAGGTTAGACCCTCTTTCACTCAGACTCAGCCCCCCCCCGAAGCAAACTCCCCCCCCCCCCCGAATCGAAATCCTGGCTACAGGCCTGGTTGAATGGAAAGTTATCCCAATACATGTGCAATGTGTGGATGACGTGACAATGTAAGGTACAGGAGTGCTCTGCTCAAGGCCACTATTCTGTTTGGATCCTGGTCTGTCAGTGATCCTTGATGTATTAGCACGACCTTCTAATTTTTCTAAATTTATCTTCATAGATCTTGGTATTAAGCACATGAATAGTGAGGTATTGTGATGAAGCCCTGGGTTTGAGGCTCCCCTTATGTTTTGTGGACAGAAGGAGAGTAGAAAGCAGAATTAAAATTCACTTCCACAGATTATTGGCATGTAAACCAGGAAAAGAAAGATGGAAACCAAATAAAACAAATAAATAAATTGTGGTGTACTCCTCCTCCTGATAGTATGGGTGTTGAAAAATGTAATGCTAAATTATATGTGCAAGTCCTGCTAACTAAATGAAACCTTAATTCTGAAGAGAACAAAGTTTGAAAAAATCAGAATCTCATCATTTAATTAAAAGACACGTTCACACAATATTTCTACTAATAGTGCAAAATGAGTTTATTCTGATAGAAGCAGGAAGGGAAGGGGAGAGGAAAGGAGGCCCATTACTTTGAGCTCTGTTATGTACATAGTTGATTAACAGCAAAAAATAATAATACCAGACAAATTATTATGCTAAGGTGTTTTGCAAAAACTTAAATTTTAATCTTAGGGACAATTTTGATGAGGCCTCATGCAGGGCTACCCAAAGGGGGCTCCTGACCTCTGAAATACTGTATTGGTTGATTTTCCCCCCCTTTTACTTAGATATGTAGCACTGTCATAGTAAAGAAAAGCCAGTAAAACATCCCTTAGAACAAGGAGCAGACAAGCTTGGATTAAGCATGCCTAGACAAGAGCTGACCTTGAATTGGCTCAAAAAGGAAGTGTTACACAACCCAGAAATAAAAACAAAATGCAGAAAATACGAACATATTTGATAAAGAAAAATAAATTGTTTTTACAATGAAGGAGCTTGATTGATAAATTGAATATTTAGGACAGAAAAAATAAGCACTCTACTTTACTTGTAGACAGATTTAATGTGACTAGTGACTACCACTGTGCTTTCTCTCACTCTGTTCATTTTTTGTTTTGCACAGAATGCACATCTAGCATATTTTCCTCTTGCTTCCTTGAATAATTATGTACACCTATGTTTTTTTCTTGTTATTGATAATTAACTTTCTTTAGCTTATTCTGACCTTTATCATGTATGCTTTTTCTCATTCTGTAGTATTCATTTAGCTCAGGACTTCCAATGACAAAAACTGGAATCATAAACTATGTCCTACATGGTTTTAATAAAGAACACTGATATGTCATAAAGAATTCATTTATTGCTTATGAAGAGCATTATACTAACTCACAGATTATTCCGTTTTCATTGTACAAATACCAAATGCAAATAAGTAACTTTTTGATATTCCAAAAATACAATGTTCGTTGGATTGCTGGCTTTAAATATGGTGTTGTAAAAGCTTTTCTCAATCAGCTTGCCTACTTAGGATTGTACAAGTTTATGTACCGCTTGTATAATCTGTTGAACGGTCAGTTGCCCAGCACAAATCTGGAGTTCAGTGAAACTCTGGAGCTCTTCTCCTTTTTATGTGTATATATATATATGTGTGTGTATATATATATATTTGAGCTTTGATTAATGCTGTGCTGAAATAGTTCATTTCTTGTGGAGATCATCCTCTCTTAACTGGGGAGGTTGATAAAAGGAGTTAACAGATGGCATGTCAAATGGTTTTGGTATGTCTATTCTGAGTTCTCCTTGGCGAACCATTATATAGGGCCTCAGGGTATCAGCTGCTGCTTCCTCGAACTGATGGAGGAGCTGTTGGAGATCCTGGAGGAATGCAGCATAATTATCTATTACCAGGTCGACCAATTTTTTGGTGTTAGTAATGAGCCTCTCATAGGAAAGGTGTTCATATGCCTCCTGTAGCTTTTCCTTGACCTGTATGTTTTGTTCAGCAGCACTCTTCTTAGCAGTCTGAGACCAATACAGAATTTTGTCATGAGCAGACCTGGAGAACTCTGTGATTTGTTCATGGTTGTCCACAAATTCTTGTGCTTTATCTGCCAGGCGGACAATCAAATCAGCTGAACCAGAAACATATTTCTTATGCAATTCCCTCACGGCATTGATCAAGCTCATCAGCCAAGCCATCACTTTCTCTTCCACTTCATAGTATTTGACAGACCATCCAACTACGCTTGGATCAAAATATTCCTCCCGCAGATTTTTCAGACTTTGCAGAAGTTCTTCTCCTTTGTTGGAACAAGTTTCTACAATACTTTGGATGAAGTTTTCAATGCGAAGAGTCCAGTTTTTTCTCTCTTCTGCTAAGTTCTTCACTCCTTGTAAAGCCTCTGTGAACAGTTGTTTTGCCTGAACGCTGATATATTCATAATTTTGGGCTTGTAAATTTCTGATCAGCTCTTCCACTTTCTGGAAGACTTGCTGAATGACCTCTTTTAGGTCTCTGAGATGTTGTGCAAAGTCAATTTCCTGAAGCCCAGCAAATAACCCACCAACTTTGTTTCGTACATGATTTAGAAATCCTTTGATTTCATCAACTATAGTACTACCTTTAATGATCTGGCTGGAAGCTGGTATTTTAACCTCTAGTTCATTGATGAATGCAATGAAAGCATCAAAATATTCTTGTACTTTTGCAATGCCGACATCTACAGCTCTGCTCAATTTTTCAGTAGCCATCACAAAAAGTTCTTCACCAGTATGCTTCCCATCCACTCCTGGCACCTGGAATCTTGAAACTTTCAGGAATTCAATGGCAGAATCGATAAGATGCCTTATCCTTTTATTGTATTCTTTTATTGTCTGCATTGTGGCATCAAAAATTTTGGCTCTGAGTTGTTCGTAGTCAATCTGGTTGGCTTGATCTGCAGCATCATAATACAACTTTTTGGCTCTTTTCCTCATAGTTTCATACTTCCCAGTTGCCTGGTCAGTTACCACATGAAGCTGTTGTTGCAGTTCACTGATATCATTCAAAGTGTTTTCATAAGCTGAATCTATACTGTGTCTCAGGTTGTCGTTGAGCTTTAAAGCCACAGCACGCATCTCCATTCCTGTATGTTCCTTGTGGTATTTGTCAACAGCATTGTATAAAGCACTGGTCATTTTAGGGACTCTGTCCTTAAACCCTTGGAGTAAGTCCATTGCTCCATCTGTTTTCCAGTTGGCCTTGAGCTGGATCAGTTCAGGATTTTTGAATGATATCTCACTTTTTAAGACATCAACATCATTCTCCGGGTTTGACTGTAAATGGAAAGTATGTTTTTAAGGAAATACTCATTCTCTATTTTGTTATAAGAACAAGACATTCACATATTATTACATGGCATTATTTGTTCTGATTTTGCATGGGCAAGGACTATGACATTAAATTGTAGTGGTAATAGAGATGTAAGCATGATATGGCAAAGCCACCACACTCTTAAAATCCAATGTTGAGCACTATTATTATTATTGCGGTTGTTTCATTGCATTACACAGGACACTAGTAATGCGACACCAGAGGCAATCAAAGTGGTCAGCTTCTGATCAAAAGTTTTAAACTTTGTGATTTTTCATTACATTATAACTGTATCCTCAATTCGCTTCTGACACGATAAATAAATACAAAGACACTAACAAAAATCATGTATCATTTGACTGTAGTTTACAAATGCTTACAATTCAACCTGATGGATAATCTCAGGCCCCTTCTACACTGCAATATGAAATCTAGATTATCTACTTTGAACTGGATTATATGGCAGTGTAGAAGGGGCCTCAATTTCACACTAGAGGGGTGATTCATGCCTCCTTTTATTTAATTTGATAGTTTTAAAATAGGTGAGAACAAATAAGTTGTAGTGGTTTGAATCCTTGCTGACCTATGGACAAGTCACAACCTCTCATTTGAGGCCCCTTCTACACTGCCATTTAATCCAGATTATCAAAGCAGATAATTCACATTATCTGCTTTAAACTGAATTACAGGAGTCAACACTATAATATAATCCAGTTCAAGGAGATAATCTGGATTTTATATGGCAGTGTAGAAAGGGACTTATAGAGTAAAGAAAAAAAATACATAGATAGGTAGGATTAAAAAGTTATATATACCAATTGGTATTACCATACTGATTTACTGCAGGACCACAGTAAAAGTGGTGTCAACTCCACTAATTCTACAGTGCGCATGCACTATCTGTCTTCATTACCCTTAATTACACTACTTAAGAGTTGACACCGAAACACAAGTGCGTGGAGAAACACTTGAACTAAGCACCACAACTATGGTGTGGGAAATAGAAAAGCCAGTAGTCATAATACATTATCACAGGACTGGTGATCAGTTCATGTGGGTGGGTCCAGATTAAGTAAATTATTCTGTCAAGTTTGGCCTGGACTCATGTCCCATTTATTTCAGGAGTCCAGCTAACTTGATCTGGATCCAATCCATAATAATTTAATCAAAGGCACACAGTCTGATTTCAGCCTGACCTACCTGAGATCGGTAGAAGATCTTGCTCCTGTAAACATCACTATCCATGTCAATGAGGAGGCCCAGGGTTCCAGCTGATGAGGAAGATACTGAGGTAGCAATTTTTGAGTCACTTCCCTGGTAACGCGCTTGAACGTCAGTGAATGTTGGGCTGGTGATATCCAGAGATGCTTTGTGTTCTAGGACTCTAAAGAAGTCACAGATCAATCAGATTATAGTCTTTTTCATTATAACACCCTCCCTTGAGATTATAAACTGGCACTAACTTTAATTTAGTCTAATTTAGCTTTTTGGAAGGCAAACATTTGTATTTGCTCATATGTTTTACCTGTTATTTTGATATTGTTTACATATAAGTATAAATCTTGACAGTTTTACTTTGTTTTTAACATTCACTGAGTGTTCTGCTGTTTTAAAATGGGGGCGAGGCTGGCTGAGTGAAAAAGAATTCACACCAAATTTTCACCAGTTCATTCCATCAAACACAGTCCTTTATGACAAATCCCATACTGGTCTTATGTTCAGAATTACCTTTTCAAGGAAACACTAAAATTAACCAATATGAATTAGCTACTCACAACAAACAGTATTTTATTTTTGCAGAGATAGAAATGTTTTTTCTGAGGCTTTTGCACATGCCTGGCTTATTACCACTTTGTGGAAAAAGTTATTTTACATATTTATTTAATTTACTTAGAGATTGATTGAGAAGTTTCTAAAGGGCTTCTCAACAAAGATGGGATCAAAACATAGTCAGGAGAAGTCACTAGTGAGGGGAAAAGTATTTTTGGTCCTGTTTCATTATCTGGGCAGAGGCCAAAAGGGGGCGCTAGAAAAAAAGGATAGCCCATTTTCGGGGGGGGGGGGGGGGAGAAGTAAAATAATTTCCCCTTATTTTTTCTATTATTTCCCCCACCCATGTCGCAGTCATGGAAACAACCCTTGTTTATGAAATGGGAAGTGGAGAGGGGGAATAGCCAGCAAAAACTGGGGAAATTGTTTTCCTCCTTCAACGCCACCCCCCCTCCCCCAATACAATGGACTATCCTTCTCTGTCTAGCACCCCCTTTGGTCTCTGCCGGATAATGGAACAGTACTGTATTTTTAAAAAAATATTGATTGACCTGTCCTCTAAAAAAAAAAGAAAAGTTTTGAAAATTGTCATAGCAGGAAAAGAATCTGGTAAATTTTAATTGTGCAGAAAGACACAAGTAGAGGGGGCACTACTAAAAAAAAGACCCTGTGTGGTATTGAGCACAATACTGCAGTTGAGGCTTCATAACCTAGATTTAAGGATATGTAATTGCTCTGAATTCAGCAAGGTTGTGTCATTTTACGGGACGATTACATAAATCCTGCCCCAGCACATCTTAAGAACAGAAGTCATCCCATTCAGCTTCCAACCAGGGTGCAAGAAGCAGGATGTTTTCATTTCACTCTAACCAGCAAATGAGCTTACAACAATCAGAACCAGTCTTGTTGCAGCCTTGTTACTGCTTTGAGGGCAGTGGGAACGTCATTCTCTTTGCACACTGATTGGAGGCTGAATAGACTTTCTTTGTTTGATCCTTGCCCTTTCAGTTGTCTGGGGAGGAGTTGGTTGGAGGGAGGAAGTAGCTATGCACATGTGTTCATAGGAGACCATACGCATTGCAACATTACAGCAGTTGCACACCACTTTGATTACCATGACTTCATCTTATGGATCCTGGGATCTGTGGTTTGTTATGGAATCAGAGCAATATGACAGAGAAGGGGAGATAGCTCATAAAACTACAAATCCCAGAATACCAAAGCATTGAACAATGGCAGTTAATACTGTGTCAAACTACTACAATCCTGCAGTGTGGATACTGCCTAAGAAGTGGCTCTAAGATTCTGGTATATCTTGGTTGTTAGCAGAACCTGATATATGCCTCATTTACAAATCTCAAAATACACAGAGGCACATAGGGAAAACTTTGCTCCATTCTGTCATTAGGAACACACCAGATGGCTATGCAATCCTAAGCACCCATTCCATAGCATAGTTAGTTAAACAGGGTTCACCATTTATGGCATAATGCTTGCCATCCGATGTGTAGCCATGCTAACAAAGGAAGTCCTTACCTTAGCCCTTGTGCAATTAGGATTTCTTTGTATTCAGCACTCAGGTCACGATGCGCAAAGGTGCCTTGAACACTTGCTTTATAAAAATTGCCTTGATATAAGTAGGTGGTCACAGCTAGAAAGAAAAGATTTGAGAAAGAAAAGTTTAACTTCTTTCTGACAGAAATTTACTTAAATTCTCTTTTTGTATCTCTGCACTCTGCGAAGCAGATTTTACCATAAGTTGCTCAAATTTTGAAACTTTTGTTGCTACCACTGCTACTATGACTACTAATAATAGAGCAATAGTGTAATATAGAGTCCAAACTGTGGACCAGCAACTCCCAGTTCAAATTTGGCTGATCTCATCTACCCTGACTGCACAGGATCCCTGATTGTGGGGGATATTCTGCTCAGGTGAATTCCCACTAACCAGCTCATCAGACTTCCTTGAAGGAGTCTGTTGGATGTCATCACACAACATAAGGCTACTTCTGGTGGGGCTCCTTAGAGGAAGTGTCCTGCAGAGTGCTAGGATGCTTCTCTGAGGACATGGGAGGCTTCCTATGTTCCATGGAGAAGAACGGAGGGAAGCCGGGCGGCGATGCTTCCCCCATGGAATGTATAAGGGAGGCAACGTGGGGCGCGGGGTAATATTTTCCCTGACATTGCCCCATGGATTCAGACCTCTAGTGATAAGGTCCTTAGTTTCCATCCTTAAAGTGCCCAGATCAGGACTGAAAGAGAGGTGGGACATACTGGGAAGCAGAGAGGATTTACTACAACATATAGACCCTCATGCTTTCTACACCAGGGCGTGGAAGTAACAAGAGAAGGTAACAAGAGAAGTAACAAGAGAAGGTACTTGCATTGTGCTATTTCTCTTGGTTAAAAAGGAACAGTATGATGGAGTTACATTTCAAAAGTAAAAGGATAGGAGGGAATAGCATTATTTATACTAGTACAGTGAATAATGTCTAGCATCCTTTTCATGACATATGTAAGATTTTCAACAATTCCTGATGTTTCAACAGCTTGAGTGGAGGTAAAGGGTGGGACAAAGGAAAGGAATGATTCAGCAGATAAGTGACAAAACTTAATAAATACACAGGAGATATTAGATGCAATGCTTTACGGACAGCTCTTTCCAACCTGGCACTTTGCAAATATCTTGGTCTGGAGCACCACCATTCTCAACTAGTAATCAGAAAGAGCAGGATTTATGTAGCAGCTTCTAAAAGAGGACATCTGAAGAAGCTAACCATAAAACGTTCTACTTGTAAGCAGTAGTATGAATCTAAGTATTATGTGCCATTTCCTCATGGAATCCTATACAGATAGTCCTCAAGTCATGAAAAGATAGGTTCTGTAAGTTTGTTCTTAAGTCAAGTTGAATTTGTATGTAAATTGTAACAGGTACATTTTTAAGTGTAACACCAGATAGATAGATAGATAGATAGATAGATAGATAGATAGATAGATAGATAGATAGCATAGGGAAGGATTAACACCCCAGTGGTGCTTATTTTGCTGTCTGTGCTCCTGTTCAGAAGATTTCACCTCACCTTCTGTCCCTGTGATAATTGGATTTTGAAAACTTTAGCTTGTTGTGGAAACAAGGATTGGTGAGAAAGCTTCAGTGGAGACACCCTTTCCCTGTGACAACTCTTCCAATGTAAAAGGGTTCATTTATTGATGGTTAACAAAACATACAAAGCTTTTTCTGCTAGCATTTTAGTTTCTGCTCTACAAAATTTACCACATTTGATAGCTAATGCTGCCATATGTGGTATCAATATGGTAATAGTAAGGATAACACAGATGACAGAAATAATTTAGTGAAAAAATACACTATATGCATTCTAAGTATTATTATAACAAAATAACAAAAGGAGAAACACACTTCTCATTTTGCAGCATAACACTTTTCTTCCATTGGCATCCTGTGTTCCATTGGTTTGGTATCTTGTACTCCACTTTACTGAAGTACAGTGGTTTGGACCCTTAGGCAATTTAGAGCACATTGTAGAATGAATGCAGTTTGATGCCAATCTAACTACCATGGTTCAATGTTATGGAATCCTAGGAATTGTAGTTTGGAGAGACACCACCACTTTTTGCACAGAGTAAAGATGCTGTAAAACTACAACTCCTATGTTTCCATAGCATTGAGCCATGGCAGTTAAACTGGTATCAAACTGCATTCATTCTTCAACATATATGTATCTTAAATATAAGTTCATGGAAGGAAAGTATTCAAACTCCTATTTTCCTTATATACCTTGTTGAGGGTAATGGGGGAAGAGACTCTTGAACAGTATAAGATGAAGACAGTACTGTAGAAGACCATCCAAATTAGGCAGGGACAGCTTCAGTTAATGGACAAGAATAGCGGTAATGCTGTCAGAAGGCAGGAAATGGCATTCATACATGCTAGGAGCTAAGCTATTTTTCCAACATCCAAATAACATAAGAACATTGAAGGAATCATGAATAATCTTACCGTCTAAATCATATTCCAGAAATTGCAGTGGTGAAATTGCAGTGAAATCAATGGAATGCTCAAAGGAGTTCTTTTTGTTCTTGAAATCCATTTTCCAGGTGGTGCTGTAAAGTGGAGAAGCCATCGCCAGAGAACCAGCTAAAGCTCCAAATTTGGGGAGGTAAATTCCAGCAGGCAAAACCGCCTTGAAAGCTGGGATTTCAATCTGCTGCTCAGGAATGGTAATTGTTGGCAGATCAAAGTCAGCTATCTTATTGGCTATAACATTAAGGTCCACAGTCATATCACCAAAAGAGAGCGTCTTTGGAAGACTGAATTGGGAAACTGTTAATACATATTCTGGTACAGTCAGCTGAAAGGATGGAATTTTATAATCTTCTGAATCAACATACCTTGTTAGGATATCTAATTGAGGGAACTGGATTTTTGGCAATGAAGGCAATGCGATGTCAAATGGCATGGTGAACAATGTTTCAGGAACTGTAATTTGACGTAGGTCAATGGTGTAAGACGGAATTTGCAGGCTTGTAAGCTGATCCACATTTATGGGGATAAAATACCCATCTTCATTTTTTGTATATACTATGGCTGTTGCTACATTGAGGTATTGCCTTCCACCACTAGTGGTGAGATCTAATTTCAAGATGTCCCATAAGCTTCTGTCATAAATTGGCAAACAGTGTCTGAGGAAATCCATGTGACCTCCCAAAGATCCTGACATGGTGAATTGAGCAACTGTGTTGTTATTTGTTAACAGTAAGTCGTGTCCAAGGAACAGAGAATAGATTTGGTTTTGACTTGTCCAGCTCATCTTCTGATTTTCACTACTGATGGTCGTTAAAAAGTCTTGATTAGCTGAGGCCTCGCCAATGATATTGTTGGACTGGGTAGCTTGTATCTGACCAATTACTGACATACCGGGTGAACCTAGTTCTAAAGTTACTTTGCAATTCTGATTTCCTTTAGTTGAAACAATCAGATTGGGAAATAGTTTATTTTCTGCATTATGGTCCCATAAGGCATAAAGACGTTGGCTAGATGCTTCAATGGCAACATTTTCTTTCATACCAAAATTACATATTTCATCAACATTAGAGTTAGTCTCAAACTGAAGTGAGGCTCGAGCACCTTTAGCATTTAGGTAGGCATTTGCTTCATGAACCAGCTTTCCAGAAAATGGAATCTCTTTGTAAAAGTTTCCATTAATGAACCCATTGGTCGAAGTATCCACAGATATATAAGATATAATGCTTTCTAGAGTGACCTTGTGTGCAACTTCTCCTTTGGCATTGGCAGCAACAGTATCCAAATCATAATTTAAATTAATGGCAGAAGTAACTATTGGTTTTGATTTTGTATTTCCCTTAAGCTCCTGCCCAAAATTCACTTTTAAGCCAGGCATATTGATTTTTGCAGTGGTTATCACTGATGCTTCTATATTTCTCTTTGTGAGGCTGATAGTGCTGTCATGGTTGCCTTCAATAAATTTATGATTCAGGGATAATGCAGTTGCTAGCTTCAAACCCCTCTTCCTTGTAAGGCTGGTTGTTCCATCCAATTTATATTGCAGGGCATCAATCACAGAGGTAGAAGATGAACTCAAATGAGCAACAATATCAGATTGGTTAAAAAACCCAGCATTTGTGTTCAGGGTAATCACACTAGATTTAAATGAAAATTCATAAGTAATATTTCCTAAGGCCGGAATGTAGATTCTGTTGGATGGTGCATATGTTCGATAGCTGGGAAGCTTAAGGGTCTGTAGGCCTTGGGGAACATGAAGGACTGGTAGCTCCAATGATGGAAGGACTAATGTATACGATGGCACTGAAAAGCCAACAAGTGGGACTGTGAAACTTGGGGTGCTCATTTCTTTTGGGATGATATAGCCAAAGGCAGGGAGCTCTGCTGTAAAGGGAGAGACCTCCATGTTGACCACTGGAATTGTGTATCCTGGAATCCTGATGATCTGTGGGATTTGATTCACAGAAGTATCAACTTTGTATTTGTCAAAATTGGTCTTGGCTTGGTTATATGATTTCGTCAGGAATGCCAAGGCATTGTCCCGGCCTCTCTCAAAATGCTTGTTGAAGAACACAATGTAGTTATTGATTGCTCGATGTACTCCATCTAAAGGAATTTGAAATGAGTGCATATATTTGTTCTTCTTATATTGAGCTTTTAGATTTAAGTCAAATGATTGTTTTGTGGTCTTCAGTAAAGTCTTCAGCCCTGTTTCTTCCCACAGACAGTATTCTTGAACCTTGGGTGTCTGGATGCCAACATAGGGAACAGCTAGTTCAGGAAGTGAAATGGGTTTTGTTAGGAAATCCAAGTTAGCATCACCATTCATAGACAGAAAAGCTCCGATGAGATCTTCATTGTTACTGGCAGACATGTTGTGAGCATATCTGTATTGGTTAAATCTACCCTCAGCTACCCAGCTGATTTGTTGAGTAGAGGGACTCAGCATCAAACCATAGTTATTCAGGAACTCAATTTTGCCAGTCATTTTTGGTAGGAGACTAATTTTTATATTTGCATCATTATTTGTTGATGCACTTACTTCAAAGGGCTGTACTGAGAAAGCCACATCATTATTCAGAGTCCCAGAGATGCGTCCGTTCATTTTAGCATTTTGTGTGCCAGTTACTTTCATTTTCATTTCTGCAAGATTGCCTGTGCCTTGTATGTTGATGGTACTATGCCCCAGTTGTGGAGATTCTACTGTAGACTCGATCTGTAACTTTGCAGAACTAGGTAAATTATATTCATATGCCAGTCTTTGGTTGACCTTCAAGTACTTATCATTTATCTTGTTTTCTGCTACTAATGCAGCTACAGATCCTCCTACAGTAAAACTGACAGTTGATTCATGGGTTCCTTCATCAGAATAATCATAAGTAGCCCATTTCCAGTCTCCTTTACCAATGGAAGTAAGTGCTATGCGTCCTGCTTCCAGTACTGTTTTTATTTCATTGCTCAGTTCAGCTTGGCTGGTGAATAGGGCCACTGGAATATTTAGGCTGTGTGTATATGTTGTCTTGCTCTCCATGGAGATTTTCTTTTGCAGGTTGAGTGTCAACTTGTTGTGCAGATCTAATGCATTTCTTTCTATACGGAGGTTTGCTGTTGTTTCAGCATTGCCATCAACAGAAGTCCTTGAAAATATTATTTCACCAACATGATCAGCTTTAACGTAGACATGGGAAAACTTGAAATTGTTCCTTAGGATTAACCGCTGCATCTCAGGTGCCAAGAGATGTGTATCTGCAGTTATGGTGAAAGCAAGGAAGTTGATTTTGGATGTTGAAATAGCTGAAATAGAAGCCATAAATTCTGGACTGTGGTCAAAAGCTGTTACATTTTGAAAACCGGCATTGGTGGTCAATGTGATGAAAGGAGAAGCAACTCTAAAGGCACCAGATAGTTTTCCAAATGTAGGAGCAGTTACAGAGTGTGGAATACGTGGCAACTTGAATTCTGGTATCTGCACATCTGGGAACTGGAAATCATTTAAATTTAGTTTTGGGATTATGAATTCAGGTATCTGTAGCTCAGGCAAATTCATTTCTGGGAAAGAGAAGTCTGAAAAAGACAAATCTTGCATCCTCAGATCTTGGAAAAATGCATCAGCAGGTGGCAGCCGAAAGTCACTTGTTAATATTTGATCTATTGTCTTCACAACCTGCAGTTTGATTTCATTCAAATCAATTACATAGGATGGAATCTTATAAGTATTTAGTATGGTAAACGCAGGAGTTTCAAATCTGGTTGGAATTCTGATTTCTTTCAATTTCTTGAAGTTTACCTGATAAGAAGGAACACGCAGGTCAGTTAACGGGATAATAAAAGCTGGAGTTTGAAAGGTTGCTTCTCGTAGGGCACGGAGACTAACTTCAAAAGCAGGAATGTTGATTACGCCTGTAGAGATTTCAGGAACTTTAAAACCGGTTTCAACAAACTGGTTCAAACTTTCAGCCATATTTTTCACATTGTACTTTTCTGCTAAATCAGTAATCTTCTTTGAAGCAATATACCATTGATCAGTTAGATAGGTAATTATGGTATTGTATAACTGACTTGCTCTTTCAAGGTATCGCTGGCATTCCATTGCAATGTCCATTTGATAAATCCGATCACGGGCATCTTTCAGGTAATCACCGACCTTAACCCTCAGTTCATCTGTTATGGTAGAGCTTAGGAGATTGAACCAGTTAACAATTACAGCAAATCTAGAATCTTTTAATTCTTCCATGTACTGAGAAACCACATGACTGACCTCTCTGACGTATCGCTTTGCAGCTTCCACTTTCTGTGGTAACTCTAGTGCCCTGATTTCATCATTGATTTTCTGTCTTGCTTCTTGTATTTTAATGTTTGTTTCATCAACAAATTTATTGTAGTCAAAGGATCTTAGCTTCTTTATAAGATCATCAAGGAAATCGTTGACTTTATCCACCAGATTTTTGTAATCAATTGTTTGGAGCTGCTGAACTGCATCATCAATGAATTTAAGTACTTGATTGAAGAAGGACTTCATGTCTATTTTTCTGAGGGAAAGGTTTATCTTTTGGATGGTTTCTTTGATTCTCTGTTGGTTAGAGAATTCAATAAATTTCTCTATTAAAGCATTCACTTGCTGATCAATTTTATAGTTTACAATAAGTTCATGCATTTTGGTCTGAAAGACATTTATCTTTTCAAATACTTCATAATCCTCCAAAAAATTAAGAATGAAAGTTTGGATTTCTTCAAGATAGCCTTTCATTTTTTCCAGTGGCAAGGACACTTTCAGCTTTTCTAAAAGGATTTTGATGTCAATTGCATCCACTTGCTGCTTCAAACTTTCTGCAATTTGTTGGGCATCTATGCTTTGAATCTGTCTTTTCAGTTGGTCTAGTTTCTTTTGCAGTTGAGCTTTGATCTTGTACTGAGCATCTATATTTTGAACCCAAGCTGCAGCATTGCTTCCTATTTGGCTAGGGTCATATTGAGAGATAGCAGATTGCAGTTGTTGAATTGTGTCAATTATCTGAGTGCTGATTTTGTATTGTTGGTCTATAACTTTCATTTTTTCAATAATCTGTTCAATAAGTTGTACAATAGTTGCTTTCAAGTCATAATTCTCTCTAATATAGTTGTCAGCTATTGTCAGGATTGTTTGCAGTTGAGACAAAGCTTCGTCAAGACTACTTCTAGCACCATCCAAAGCATGTTGTAGGTCCTCTACTGTTATGCTATAATCTTTCAAGAAAGACTCCCATTTGTCCTTTAGCATAGTCATTCGATTTTCAAAATCAATGGTGTTCACATAGCTATTTATGTCTTGGGAAATTTTATCTAATGTTGCTTTGTATTTTCTCATGTACTGGTCCATATTTATGCTCCTTAGGTTCATCTGAATAGACTTCAGTACAGTTAGGATGGACTGCCTGCACCGTTCATAATGTGCTGGCAAATTTTCCAAGAAAGGTAGATTGATGATGTGGACATCTGCATTCTTATCATACTTCACAGAAAGGGAGAGGCCAAATTCTTGAGGCTGTGCTAGATTTTCTCTTAAATCAAAAGTGTCAATCAGATTGATTCTTCTAGTGGTTGCGAATGGTATATTTATAGGGAAATCCAGTACGGAAAGGTCTGCTAAAGTTTGTCCACTCAGCTCCATTCCAATTTTTTCAGCATTGTTAAAAATATTAAGATCTTGGGTGTATGCCTGATTGTTCAGTTGGCTCTTCATTGTCCATGTGCTGCTTTGCTCTGATGGAGTAAAAATGACAACAACTTTATTATCAAGTAATGTATTGTATCTCTTCCCTGAGTTTAAGTTGTGGTCAGTGGATCCTTTGTAAAAATGTGAAAAAGTGAAGGCAAGAGGTTCTGCTTTTAGCAAGAATTTGCTGTACAGCCGTCCTGACTGTTCTCCAAAGGCCAAGAGTCTTCCATCACCATTAGTATGCATGTCAAAGGTGACAGTGAATGGAGCCACAACAGATCGCATTTCATTAGAAAAGGTTAAGAATTTTGAATTACAGTTACTATTGATGGCAACTGAGGAGGAGAGTCCTGCAACATCCACATTAACTCTGTGCATCAGAGCTGCCCCTTGAATGCTTGCTACTGTGTCCGTTTTCAGATGTGCTGCCAGATCTGCATAGGTGAAGGTATAGGAATGTTTCACTTCATCACCACCATAAGCAGCTTTCACATTACCATCCAGATTTACTTTAAGAAGTTCAAGTTGCAGCTGGGCTTTGTTGTTTGCATTGGCACTGGCATATTTCAAGTCACTGTTCACATTTGCTGTAAGAGAATAGGGCTGCAGCTGCATCTCCAAGCGGTGTTTGTGGGACTTATCTAGGCTGATGGTGTGGTCTAAAGTTGTAGTATAAGTCAAAGCCAAGCCCACAATATTTAGGTCATGGGTGTGTTCAAGCTTCATTGCTTTGTATGATCCTATCAAGCTGTTTGATAACTTCAGCCCTCCTTTATTCACCCTGAAGTTTAAAGTGTTCTTGCTGTCCACGTCAGAAATGCTGCCCTGGTAGACACTGGCAATCCCTATTTCTTTAAGAGATGCTTTCCCATCCCAGTCAAATCTTGCATGGTGTTTTCCAAAGCGTCCATTAGTATTGAGCTTCATGGAGGCTCCAGTGGTGGCAATGCGGGCATTCATTTCATTCTCCAGTATCAGTGGGTTATACTGCAGTGTTGTTGTTGCGCTGCTAGTCAGCCCATCTTGGTTGATACTTAATGTGGACTTATGCTCTGCTTTGTTTCTTTCCCCCCTTGCCAACATGTGGCTAATCAATTCGACACCTCGGTTATTCACAGAGCCAGAAATCAAGGCGTAACCTTGGCCTTGTGTGCAAGCAGCCCGGTACTCAGAGCTTACTGCAGCCCCTTGCCTCTGTAGAGTTAAGTCAAACTTATTGAAAGCTGTATAGTCCCTGTGTTTTCCTGCTGTCTCGGATGACAACATCAACTTGCTGTCTTGATACTTCAAGGAAGCGGTGTTAGTCAAAAAGCCATTCTGTACATTGGAGATGGAGGTGATTGCCCATACCTCATCCGTAAATCTCTTGGTTATCTGATTAGTAGCTTGAAGGAATGAAGAATCAAAATTGAGGTTGGATTCCCCTACTATTGCATTGCTATTTAAATCATAGGTGCCTGTATCTGTGTATGTGACTTTTGCAAAGGCTGAAGCAATATCCAGTTGACTTTCCAAGTTTTCATTTGCAGTAAGCAACATGTTGCTAATTTTGGCATCTCCACTGTAAGACAGAGAAAACTTGGCACCTAAAGGACTGGAAGCCCCAGCTGTAATTCTATATCTGGTAATGTGACTGGGTTCAATAATGTCTAGTCTGCTGATTTTAAAATTTGAATTGAGGAGACTGTGTTGCAGTAAGTTTTCATAATCAAAGGTGAACGCATTCCTGTCATATTTGGTTTCACCCTGACCTGAAATAAAAAAGCAAAAGAAGAAACATTAGTATTGACTTCGTAAAAATGTTAAATAATAGAAGCTGTTGGGATAATTATCTACATATTGGTTTAGTCACAGATGCAGTAAGTTTAAAGAGTTTGGATTTCAAGAAACATAAAGTTTGAATTTCTATATGTCTTTATGAAAATTCAGTCATAAATACATATCTATAAGATAGACTTGAATGTAACTGAACGTAAACACTCATTGCATTTGGAACCAAGGGTTCAGATTTTGGAGAGCTGAAGTTGTATTGTCGAGGGCTTTCAAGGCTGGGCTGTATGGCCATGTTCTAGAAGCATTCTCTCCTGACGTTTTGCTTCATCTATGGCAGGCATCCTCAGAGGTTAAGAGGTTCCAACAGACCTCACAACCTCTGACAATGCCTGCCATAAATACGGGCAAAACATCAGGAAAAAAATGCTTCTAGAAAAAGGCCATACAGGCTGAAAAACCTACAACAACCGAGACCTGAAGTTGTTGTCAACATAGCAAAAAAACTATAGCACTTTCTTCTCTCCAAGATTATAATTGTAGTTTTAATTGAGGGAGGGTTCAGATCTTGGTCATGAATAATTGTGACTCTACATACTATGCAGTGGTCAAAAACTTTTATTCTTTAAAAATCCCAAAGATCCAAATGAGGATTTGGAGATATACACCTTTAATAAAGAAATTCTAGGGTCATTATGGATGGAGTAATTTTTCAGTCTATTACATCAGCTGGGTAGAAAAATAGCTTTGGGAACAAATTATATCACCTGTCTTTTTATTGGTCTCTTACTAGGTGGAGTCATTTTAAAAAAAATTATTGATAGAATTATTTCTTTTCCTTTAATATTCAATGGTCCACTTATATAGAAATATGTACTGCAACATATACATGGATGTGTATATGTTTATATGTAAAATTAAAACTGATACTTTTTAAGGAAAAAAAAGGGGGGGTTAAGAGTCTGTTGTTTTAGAATAACCCCTGAAGAAGACCAATTTGTGATAAGGCCAAAATGCATTAATTTAAAAAAATACTTTGTGAAGAATAAACATTTTGCAATCCCATAGCATGGGAAGCATAACTGCTTTACAGTTATTTGTCTTGTGGACAACACAACTGCATGGGAATAAGGCTCACTGAGCTTAATGGAGTTTATAAAAATCTAGAAATCCCTTGAAGCTTCAAATGCACAGTAAACATACCCATTAATAAATCAGAATCTAACTTAGTGTACCCTTAAATCTATTGACTCATTTCAAACTATAGCACTTTCTTCTCTGCAAGATTATAATTGTAGTTTTAATTGAGGGAGGGTTCAGATCTTGGTCATGAATAATTGTGACATAGAAATACTTATGCCATTTACCCGAAATATTGTCATGAAAATATTTTCATAATGGAATTTCATCATACAGGAAGAAGGAAACTATCAACATATAACTGAGAATAAAGCAATGGCAGGAGTGAATATCACTGGAGGACTTAACCCAGTGGTTCTCAACCTCTGGGTCCCCAGGTGGTTTGGCCTACAACTCCCAGAAATCCCGACCAGTTTATCAGCTGTTAGGATTTCTGGGAGTTGAAGGTCAAAACATCTGGGGACCCACAATTGAGAACTACTGACTTAACCTCTAGTGTGCAGTCCTTAAGGAAGAGAGGATGAATCCTGACTGCTGACTCTATTCCATCCTCCTCTCTCATTGGTTATAGTCAGCTGTAATGCTAAAAATCTAGCTTCAGGCTTGAGATTAATCTGTCACTTGCTCCTCCAATGAATCTGTAAGGAGCCATTTTGAAGCATTTGTTTTCAATTCACTACAGTTGGAGTGAACTGGACAGGACCTTTGCATCTATAATGGTTGTGTAGAAGAGGGAATTTCAGTAGGCATTACTAATTACCTGGTTGCAGGATATGCAACACCTACTGCGATCCCCTCATCTGCACAACTTTTGAAGGTACATGATTCACCTCCAGTTCTCAGTCTGGCAAATTTAGTCAGAAATAGAAAAATGCTAATGTATTCAGATAATCATTAATACTCTTTAGAAACCAAAGTCAATTACACTTCCATTCCAAGGGGAAATTTTTCAGTTTATAATGTTTATGTTAAAATGCCATTTAAAATTAAATTACATGTCTGGGATAAACCTCTTGATGGAATGCAGCTCAAATATGCCACCTATTATTTTACTCTCCCTTTCCTTTTCCTCGTTTTAAGTTCGAGAGAGAAGGAGTCAGAAGCATGAATTCAATCACTAAATTTTAAAATAATTTACTTCAGTTGCTTCCTTTTGTTAAAAAGAATTCAAAATGATTAATGACATCATTGATTTTAACTCTTTAGTTCCTGTCTTTGGCCATAAATGAAAAATTCAGTGGTAATGCGGTTGTTAGGTAAATATTAGAAATGTTATTTCATGTTTTGTATACTAAAAGAAACACGGCAATGTCCCTGTGAGAATATATAAGGCTGCCACAATTTCCAACATAAGAATATATTATGAACAGTTCCTAGATTCACCTACTCACAATGGGTTCTGTGATTATAGTAGACCCCATTCACTGGGGTTAGAGGTACAGGACCCCCATAAAAGTGGAAACATCGTGTATAAAACCATGCATTTTTAAGCTGAGGGAACACCTCTCTAGTAATTTCTGGGTCCTCCAGCACCACTCTGTGTTCTCAACCTTTAGCAGAAATTAACCACTTAGGCCCCTTTCACACAGCTGTACAAAATCCACATTGAACTGGATTATATGGCAGTGTGGACCCAGTTCAAAGCAGATATTGTGGATTATCTGCATTAATATTCTAGATTATATGGCTGTGTGGAATAGCTAAGAGTCACACTGGAGGACACGGGCTTTCCTAGAAAGATCAAATTTGTCAAACTCCCAAAAGTTAAACCCACAAATGTTAAGAGGAAAGTATTATTAAACTCAAGGATAGCTGTGCAAAGTTAGCTTTTGGGCAAACATGAAATGGTGAATAGTTTGGTGGTAGAAGGAAGGGATTATAAGTAACATATTTCTAAATTATAAAGCTCTGGATAAATAGCATTTGGTTACATAATATATTCTGATTAATTTCGCCATCAAACTCTTTCTTACCTTGCGTGCTATATGAAAGTAGATCCAAAACAGAATCAGCTTTCATGAAGTAGCTTGTTTTCAGGATGTAGGCCTCGCTTGTGGTATTAGCCAAAGAGTAGGAACCTGACCAATTGTAGTAATTGCTGTACACATTCGAAGAGATCTCAAAAGTGCCGAGCAAAGGGACCTGCAGTGTGTAGGACTCTGGGATGGTGAATCGTGGGATCCTGTACTCTTGGGAAGGCATGCTCACTCCCAATGATTCCATCACCAATGGAGGTGTTCTTACAGTCTTGGGCATTTTTATGTCATAGGATGATCGGCCACCAAAAGGCACTGGGATGGTGAAAACGGCCTTTTCCTTGTTCCAAATGTATTTAATCTGGCCATCGCTGCAATACAAAGTTAATCAGAATGAAAATACAATGACACACTTTGCTTAGGAAGCAGAGTTATAACAAGTTAGGTTGTTTCATTCATTTAGTCCAGTCTAATTTACTCAGGGTGGGAATGAGGGTTATCTCATTAATATATCTACCAGAGAATGGTTTTTCCTATCAGTGGTGACCTTTCTACCTGCACCACAAACTGAATACAGAACTTTCCATAGCTTCCATTTTCTTATTGGTTGTTCAGTTCCTTTTCTTTCTACACACATACATTTATTGAGGAAAATAAAATAAAATCATTCTACAATATCTTTTGATTTTTGGAGTTCTAAGACTTATGTGTCTGGAAGCTCATATGATTAAATCCAAATAGGTCCTCTTCCAGTAAATTAAATTTTGCATTACAATAGTGGGTAACTCCTAGAAATCAAAAGGCCCACCAAAACACTGAATAAGATCAACTATAAATAAGATCATCTATGGTTTTACCTTCTCAAGAAAAGCTCTTCAGGAATGGTGATAAGGTTCATGCTCTGAAAATTTAGATCCTGGAATCCACTTAATTTATCTTTTAGCTGTTGAGCATATGGAACATCTCTGGATGCCTGATGTAGCCATGTATTAGTTGCCTGCAAGTTCAGAGTAAAGTATCACAGCACCATCAGTTTATGATTTATGATTCAATTAGTTCTACCAGGCTGTCTGAGTAAAGCATTAAAAACATAGGAATTAGCTTTAAGCAGGTCCACATTTGCCCATTGGTTCAGTACAGCAGTAGCATCCCCACTCTCTGGGGCTGTTTAGGATATCTCAAACATGTTGGAGGATCCTATCTAGGAGATCTTTCTATGCTATTATTTTGAAAAAAAATGTATTGGCATGAAAAAGAGCCCAGCATGGTCTCCTCGTTGCATGGATTGTGACTTCTTGTTATTCTGGTAGTTTTGCAAAGAACCATGTTGCACTAGCCCCTTACATTGCTTATTGCCCCTGACATTAATGGGCCTTTACCTTCTCCACTTTAATAAATCTACCCATCTGTCTGTCGCAGAAGATGACTATCCTTACTCATCACAGATGCCTAGGTGACACATTCTAGTCAATGCTGCATCTATCAGACCCACAAGCACATTGCATTTTACATGAAATATACAGTGTTCTGCAATTAATCTCAAAACATACCTATATTCCCCATCTTAATAATTACCAGGATGTTCTTGTTTGATTTGCTGTGGTTCCATCTTCAAATGATTACCTTTACTTCAATTAAATTGCCTCAATAGAAATACCCCCAGCACATCCACTAAAAGCTGTAAACAGTGCAATTTTTTAGATACTAGCAGCTATTCACTAGCAATATATTTGCTTCTTTTGCCATCTGTATCTATTGTCTCCTAGCATTGGCCTCCAGTAAACAGTGGGGCCTCTCTTCTTCTTGATCACAGCTCATTTTTGCTTGACATTTTTTCCTGCTATTTTCCACCAGTTCCTCCTGGGTTTCATGGTCATTCTAGCCATATTTGCAAATCCTTACTGTCCTTAGTGTTCACAAGAATAATTAGTAGAATTAACTTTAATTTGACAAAAGGCAGGTATGTCCACTTACTGTTATAAAATGTGAAATGATATGTCGGATTGTCATATCTGTATTGGCAACTTTGCGGTCCAACAGCTCACTCGTTTGCCTCTGCAAAGCCTTGGAGTAATCATCTATTGGCAATTTTCCCGACATTTTCTTCAGGGCAGCACTTGTGCCAGAATTCCACTGCACTTCAATTTTTTCATTATCTAAAATTCATTTTAAAAAAATCTATTAGTATCGGCATTCACACAGTTTGTTTTTCAAATACTAAAATCAGACATAAGCCTTACATTGATGCTTAAAAGCATTTAGAAACCTATTTTGGCTTTGTATGTGCTGGTGGTTGTTTTACTACAACTAAGATCCATCCAATAAATCCTGTGCAATTCTGAGCTCCTAGGTTCAATTTCCAGAGTCAACATAGTGAAGTGGAGTGAATACTGTAGTGAAAGTCTATCGACCAAGTTTCAAATCACCACTTGATCAGAGAACTCTACTGGGTGAACTTGGACAAATCATACTTTTTCAGCCTCAGAGAAAGGCAAAGCCAGCCCTCTTCTGGACAAATCTTGTCAAGAAATCCCAGGGCCCTTCTACACCACCATATAAAATCCAGATTATCTTCTTCGAGCTGGATTATATGGCAGTGTAGACCTATATCTGCTTTGATAATCTGGATTATATGGCCGTGTAGAAGGAGCTCCAGTGATACAGAAATGGAAACAACAGCAACAGCATGGATGTAAGCCAATAATATTTCCATATGAAAAACCACTCTTGGTTATCCCAACAACTTCCGTTTTGGCATAGCTTAGGCCCAATGGTCGCAATCAATGACACAGTACTACACTTCATCCCATGTCCTTGTTCCTTAGCTACAATTTGTACTAACCCATTCCCTTGTCTTGTTTACAGTCTGGCCATGTCTTCCAGTAGTTGTCACCATAGGCTATTGGGTGTTGTTCTGAGTTTTAAATTGTTGTTTTTATATGCTATATGTTTTATGTTATTTTATTATTGTATTGTATATTTATTTTATGTGTTGTAGGCACTTTGTGCCATATGTAAGCTCCCCTTCAGGGTGATGGAGGCGGGATACAAGAATAAAGTTGCTGTTGTTATCATCATCATCTTGGTGCTGGTGTAGTTGAATAACTGAGAATTATAAATCTTTGCCAATCTACAGCAAATCTACAAGAAATTCGCGAAGAGATCCAGAGCTATTCTTTGCTCACTTCTCATTCTTTTAACTTGAATTTCACACAGGATTCTTTCATTGACACAATTAGATGCAGAAGTTCTTTTACAAGTGAAACATGTGCCTATCATTGAACTGTAATACTCTTAACTGTACTCTCTGATTTAATAGTTTATAGATTTTATGGTTCACATTTTTAAAATATTCTATATGTATATTATGCAATGGTAAGGTAATAAAGGTCCCCAGAGTTGAGGTGTGATAACCACAATTCTGGTCCTTCACTGTACATTAGATCAAATGTCTGTGCAAGCCTTTTTGTGATTGTGTGTTAGAAATCAGCAGTTAGAAATCCTGACTAAAGAGCAAAGGCACCAGTGGCTTGCAGAAATAAAGTAAAGGCTATATTATGAGAACCTCATTATCCGTCAAAACTGGCATTTAAAATCCAGATTATCTGCTTTGAACTGGATTATATGGCAGTGTAGACTGGATTATATGATTTGATAATCTGAATTATTTGGCAGTGTAGAAGGGGCCTATGATAGGACTAGCAGGAAGAGAAAAGATTTTAAAAATTCCTAAGGATATTAGGTTATGGGCCCGGGTGTTTGTTGTTTTAAGAGATCTGTAATAGGATTAAAGGAGATCAAAAGGAGGGAGAGATTTGATCACACAGCAGACACATCTTGTTTTCTCATTTTGGATGCTGTGGTGATGGTTTCTTTGTTGAGAAAGGAGCTTACCGTATCTCAAAACAATTCTCTCCGAAACTGAGGAGCCGTGTGCTGTGGCTGAAGAGTCAATCTGGAAGATGATTCCATTAGACTGTTGCAGCAGTGATACATCTGTTTTAGCCTGAGTCTGCAAGCGAGGAATTGAGACTGAAGCTTCTATTGATGACTCTCTCCCAGCCTGATATCTAGAAAGCAAAAAAGAACATAAATGTTACTCTTTCTTACTACAGTAGGACTTTACTTTCCATATTATTAATGGGTGAAAAGGTAACAAAATATTTACACTCTTATCTGTCAGAGTGGCCATAATTAATCAGTAAATTGATGTTACCTGACCATTAAAGTTTGTTCAAATTGCTCAAGGTGAGCACCATTGAAAATAACTGCATTTTTTTCTGTAAATTGCAGGGTGTTCCACCAATGTGAAATGGATCAAAGAGTTTTGACAGTCGTATCTTCAAAAATTAGGAAAAAGATTGTGGCATTACCCTATACGTCCTGTGAGAGTAACTTCAGGAATTTTCTTGTTGTTGATGTCTAAGATGAAGGAATATGCTTTCCTTTGCTCCGTGGAAGAATCAGTAATTCTGAGGTTGGTACCAAAATCAATTTCAAAACTGGGAATCTCAAGGTCACTCGTAAAAATATGTTTGCCTCGGTTGTATCTCAAGGTCAATGTGGCTTCACTTTTCTTTACACCTGAAAATACAGTGGAAAGGAATGATTTGTAGGCAGCTTAAGCTAGACATGATGGGCTACAACTACAATACTACGCCCAAAAATATTTATTTCAGATATGTATATCTCATCCTTCTCAGTCGACTCAGGATGGCTTACATATTAATACATCTGGAAAGCACCAATCTAGTTTGTCATTTACTCAAAGAACTAAAGGAAATATAACAAAGTAACTGACTATTTTTTAGATGTTGGCTTAAAAAAATCTCATCTTCCAACTTATTCCTGGATGACCACATGCATGGGCATCAGTGAATAGCACTGTTGCCAGACCAAAGTTGTATCTCTTGCTCCACTGTTGGTTTATGGCAACTTCATCAATGTCATAAAGTTTTCTTACTCCCCTTGTTTAATATATATTCATTTTATCAAAAGAACTGAATTTTCCAGGGATTTATAGCCTGACCTTTCAAGGATGTTGCAACTAAGAACTGGAACTGGTTTGGGGGAAGCGGGGAACCAGGTTTTTTTATTTTTATGCAAATCTTAACTTGGCAGATGTTTTTGTCTGAAAATGATAGTGCTGTATCTTACCTTCAGCTTGAGCAATGAATTTCATGGTGTCTACCAAGTCCTCTTCCTCTCTCTTTAGTTCATAGTTAGCACTTGCAGTATATTCCTTTACTTCTCCTGTTGGCTGGATTTCCACTTCATATCTAATGACAGCAACATAGAAAGTAATCACTACATATGCAGCTTAATTACAAACTACTTTTTACTAATCAACCACCAGACTCAATTTGTAGCTCTGATTTAGGGTTAAGTATTCGTTTGTGGAAGCCATTTGGAAAAAGTTTTTGACAACGGCCTTAGATTAAGATTAAAGAGATAGTCAAAACTGAAATTGTACTATTGTTTATTAGGTGGGATCAGTGTATTGAATGATCTCTAACTTTAATTTATGTGGTGTCTCTCACGTCGGAAATAAATCCTCATGTTTTTCCTAGGGATAGACAAAATCAGTTTCCCCCCCAATTATGGTATGTTTACATGTGAAAAGTCTCTATCCCCACAAGTCTAAAATACTTGTCATCCTATGTACTGTAAATTCGATACAAATGAGAAAAATCAGCTCCTAATTATCAGTTTCTACTTTTTCTTTTTAAAAATGATGCTTCTAGAACTCTGTGTGATGAAGAGAAATTTCAAAATGTGTGCATCATTACCACAGTTTTAGAAAATAATGGCAAGTGTGAATTTCATTTGTAGTTCATTTTTTATAAGAACTAGCCATCCCCTGCTACGCCTTGCTGTGGCCCAGTCTGTGTATATGTGTTTTGTGTGTGTATGTGTATATGTGGTTTTGTGCATGCATTGTAATGGTTTTTTTTTTGCTTTTTAAGTCCCTTCGGCTGTGTTTTTCAGTGTTTTTATGAATGATGGTCACTTGTTGGTCTGATAGATGTATTGTGTCCAAATTTTGTGTCAAGTTGCCCAGTGTTTTTTGAGTTACGTTAATCCCACAAGTGAACATTACATTTTTATTTATATAGGTTTATCCAAAATTGCCAGGTGTCTTGACATTTGAAATAAAAATTCAAAGTTGTTTTTATTTTAAAAGTTAAAGCATAAGAATATGAAAGTGATCGATGTTCTTCATTCTTTTCCTTGCCATTGGAAATGAAATACTAAAGGTAACTAGGAAACTAGAATATGTTTGTTATGCATTGTAATAAATGAAAGAGAACAAGAACTGACGTGAACATTTACCTACATTACATGGTTATGGAAATTATCGTTTGTGCAGTTCATAATTTATGTTCGTTTGAGGCAATGGAAAAACCCTAATTAAAAATGTAGGCTATTTTTGCAGGAAAAAAAACCCTTGGACAAACTCACCTGGTTTCTCCAGTGAGAGGATAATAAGGAGCTGCTTCTGTGGAACTTGCGTTGGAGTATTCTACTCTGACACACATGTTAAGACCAGCAAAGAAACGAGTACAAGATGTCTGGGATTCTCTGTTCTCGATCAGAGGGGGAATCACTTCAGTTCGGGTTGGGGTGACCAAGTGCAAGACATTACTGGGGGAAAAGATGGTGGAAAGAAGAAGAAAATGCATTTTTAGTTTATTGATTATGTACAAGAGCAGCCTTCCCCAACTTAGTACCCTTCAAATGTGTTTAGACTACAAACAAAAATATTTATTTATTTATTTATTTCCTATATTTCTATACCACCATTCTCAGCCCGAGGGCGACTCAGGGCAGTTTACAAAATGGCACAATTCGATGCCCACAATAATATAAAAAACAGTTAAATCATTCAACATAGATAAAATTCACTAAATAATAAAACTTACTCTAAAAAGAAATCTATAGCACTGTACTTAGCCAGTCTGTTGATTTTTTTTAATTTTCCTAACAAAAGTTTTAAACATTTCATTATAGTGGTTTGCAACATTATCAGCTGTAAGAAGAACAGAAATCAAAACCTGCAAAACTGCAGTCTGCAAAGTAGCCCAACTATTGTCTAGAATGCAATTGATAAACCACAAAATTGGTTGTTTCACTCAGAACATTACATCTTGGGAATAATTGCATAGGAAGTACAAGAGTCTAAGTATAAATCAGCAAATCATGGTTACAGCCAGAAGCCATTTCTGCTGACTAAAAAAGGCCCACAACAACTCAAAAAATGATTGCCAAATGTCTCCATAATAATGCTGTGGATGTCATCTTGTTTGGGAAAATGCAGCATAGATGTTATATGTTAGAAACAAACTACAATATAAGCTGCTTACAACTCTCATCTTCCTAAATAAATACCTGAGGCTGAAGAGCTTGGTTGGAGATTTTGGTGCAGGAATAGTTAATTTCAGCTGGCCAGCTCTCACCCCAACATGGGCTTCAATTCCAGACTCGTGGTACATGTTGGTGTTCATCTGCACACCGCTTCTAGCAAACTCAGGGATGTTCACTCCTAGATGTGTTACAAACTCAATTGCCATTGAAGGTTTAGCAATCAGTTCTGCTTTCATCTATTGAACAGGGAAAAAAATACAACACTTACTGATTTGATTCCATCAGTTTAATCAGACTAGTAAAGGGTTAGAACACAATCCACTATCAGTCAGGTCTATGAAGGTGCTGTTGGACTGCAGCTCCCATCAGCCCTAGCCATCAGAGTCAGTTCTTAAAGATTGATGGAAATTGTGGTTCAACATGTGGAAGGCCACAGGTTGTTCCCAATAAGAACACATCCACTTAGGTCAGTTTTGAACTGGCATAGAAGAAAGCAATTTCACTGTGTGGATCATTAGACTGTAAATCCATGGACTAGTTCGAGGCCTTGGTGGTATTTACACAAGCCACAGAGGCTGGCCTCAAACCAATTCCAGGATCCACGTTTTTTTCTTTAAATTTTCTTTCATAGAAACCTATAGAAGTCATAACTCCCCTTTAAAGGAGGTTGTAGAGGCCATTTGAACAGATCTTCAAAATCAGAAAGTGTTTCCTACATACTTTTGATTTAGTATTATGAGAAGTGCCAAGATGCTTTGGGGAGAAACACGTCTTTGAAATCCTAACATTCAGTCCTTTGAATGAACCTTCCTCTATTCCTTCTCATGATTCCCATCTATGTCTTGGATAAACTCAAAATATTATAAAAAATTAAAAATTGGTCAAAAAGATTTTTGAGTGATAAGTTCAAGGTTTATTTTGTAGTCAATGTGTTTGGTGTAGTCCATATTGTTTCAGCACAGAGGTATTGTTTTTCTTTGCAGAAAATAGCTATTTCCCGCAGAAGAAATTCTCTTTGCTGTGTAAACAATTACATATGAATTTTGCTCAGGATAAATCATAAATTGTGAACAGCCTTCAAAAATAGTGTGGTTTTCAGAGAATTTCATGTAAGGGAAGAAAATTGCAAAAATTAATGGTTGTTTTCTTGGAGAAAAAAACTTTGTGAAGAATTGCATTCCTGTTTCTTCCCCCATTGCTTTCATATGTGGATAATAATATTTACACTCAAATGGGAGACATCAAAGACTCACATTCCTCTGTGAAATTTTCACTCCAGCCTTCATCCCTGGAGTAGCTACTCCAGACAGAGCAAACTGTAGCTGCAATCCTGCCCCAGTTGGCAGCTCAAATTCATTGTCCATGAAGATATAGTGAGCGAAAAGGTCATTCTCCGTCCCCTTTGACACTGCCTGTGTGATCTGGAGGCAAGCAGGAAGAAAATCAAATTGAAACAAATATACCAAGTACTCTCTGCCTTCCTCCAGGAATGGAGAACGTCCTTTTGTAGCATTTCTGCACTCCTTGATATTTTTTACTAGTGGATACTTTGCAGGTGAACTTAGAAATATCATTTTGATATAAAATGAGCTGTTCTTCTCTAAGAATGCAAGTCATCTATTTTATTCACCATTATTCACTACTTTTAAAAAACCAGATTATTGAAACAATAAGAAAAGAAATAATAATGCTTTGTATCTTTTATTTTGATATCAATCTAAAATACAAAATGACAGTATTTCCTAAAATGACTTCTAAAAGGGTGTTTTGAGTAAATGATACCTCTTGCTCAAGAAAACTGTGTTAATAATTTGACTGATTGATTGAAAACAATGATGTTGACTCTCCTTTTTTTAAAAAAACTATCTAAAGGTAGATAATATTACATTTAATGTTACATCTGTTCTGTTGTCTGATAAGCATCTTTTTAACACTCTTTCCCTTCCTCTCTCCTCCAAGGAGCTCAAAGCAATGCATTTTGTTCTTCTCCCTATTTTATTATCACAACAATTTGTGAGGCAGGTCAGCAAAATAATGTACTGCTCTTAGATTACTCAGTGAGTTTCATGACTGAATTACATCTATAGCTCCATTGTCTTCCCTTCATTGCCATTCTACCTTATAAAAATTAATAAAATACTTTGTTTTCTTGTTAAAGTATCAAAGTAAATAGTTATTTTAATAATAAGAAGAAAACACACTACAAGACATAAGGCAGTGAGATGACTTGGCTAATATAAGATGACTTATCACAAAAATGCCAATCTGAGCTTTGAGCTTGTTGGCAAATTAATAAATTAAGGAGTCAAGAATAATTTGGGGTAAAGGTAGGATATATATGAAAAGAGGAAGAAGAGGAGGAGGAGGAACAGGGAGGAAGAAGGAGGAGGAGGAGGAAGAAGAAGGAGGAGGAGGAGGAAGAGGAAGAGGAAGAGGAAAGATTACCTTCTCAAGCCCAGTCTCCAGAGTTCTAAGGCTTCTCATTATCAGATTCCCCACTAACTTTATGTCACTAAGTTTCAAGTAGCCCAGCTCTTCCCCAAGGATTCGGAGGTAGGCTTTAGCTTCAGGTGAATCTTTGTTGACAATTTCCTTGATCAGTTTTTCAAAATTAAGCATGACTGCTTTCATAACATCCTGAGAATGTAAATAAAAAAAGTCAAAATTAGAAATAATACACCATCACACCAAAACCCCTGAGTTCAAACACGGCACTGTTAGCTCGTAAGCCCATGTATATATGCACAGGAATTTTGGTTTCACTTACTTACTCAAAGAAAGACTTTGCAAAATGATAAAATGATGTATGCCAATGTTAATAAAGGATGATGCATCTTTAATGTCATGTACGTATGGCATATTATGGCGAGCCCAGCTCCTATGCTATCTTTTAAGAAAGATGTCTTTGAAACTGGCTTGGCAGAGAGTGTGGTAGTCTGCTCTGGGATAAGGAATTAATCCATAGAAAACAGCAGCATACCTGGTCTTGCTTTCCATCCTTGGTATATCCAAAATAGTCAAAGAGTACTTGGGAAACTTGGTCAGGTACTTTGCCGTCAATCCAGTACAAAGCTTTGGTGGCACTATCAGGGAAGAACCCTTTTGGTCCGAACATGGCATCTAATGTAGGCTCAAAATTTTTCCCATCCAAACCAATCTAATATGGACAAGAGCGAAAAGAAGAGGTGAGCGGGGAGTCACTTCAGAATCTCATATTAAGTAAAGGAGGCAATTATACACAACAGGCTAGAAAGGGCAAACACCCTTTCATTCTCAGGGCCAAAGGTTTCACTTCTGATAATATTCATTCTGCAGAGTATATTTATAGAAGTAACATATCAGATATTTTAGTTGTCCCTCCACATTTACATGTATGACTTTTGCTATTTTGATTATTTACAGATTTGATGCAAAATGTTCTCTTTATTAATCTCTAAGTGCCCCAAGGTGATTTTGTCTTGCTTTTATTTTGTATTTTATTTTTTATGAGTCCAAAATAGGACCATCATATTGCGTAACACAGAGAGACACCGCAGACCAGTAAAAAGACAAACAGACTGTAAAAATGGGAAAGGAGATTTTATACCTCAAACAGATCCATAGGTCTCATTCCAACAACCTCTAGTGTTGTTTTTAGCATTGATTCCCTCGGTACATAGCTTCCTGGCTCAAAAATCAGATTTCGTTCGAGTTGTCCCATAACAGGATTATTTTCCCATGGTATCGACAGAGTTTTGAATGCCTGGTAGTTCCGTGAAAATTTTTGGAAGTCTCCGGCTGTTGGAAGCTGGTCTCTGTTGATGGCCTCTCGAACTTTACTCTGAATACTAATGATATGGAAACACAATGACAAATTTGATAACAAAAATATTCTTGTGAAAACATTTAAGGTAGATTTTTTGGCAAAAAGGTTTTGGGGTGGTCAACTCTCATGGGCTTTGAGATCAAAATAGTCCTTCCAAAAGATACAAAGGTTCACACCCCACTACACCGCTAAAAGAAATTCAAGTTTTGCCCCTAAATGCATAAAGGACTTTTTGCCAACTTTCAATCCTTTAAGGTCCAGTAAAGAACCAGACATCAATTTCTAGGTCACTTCTTGTTTTTGTTAACAAGCACTGAAATGGGCTGGGGGCTGGGCTGTAAAAGTAGCAATGCCTCCTCCTTGATGTACACATATCCTACCGAGAGGATGTGGGCAATTATATATTTAAAAATATATAGAGACATTTTGACACTGAAAGCCACAAAAATGATCCTGAGTGTTGCACACTTCCAGTGGCCTGCATTTGCCTCAGGCTTGGTTTAATGCATTCTGGGTCCCCCATTTACACTGCCATGCAATACATTATATTTGAAACTGCATTATATGGCAGTGTGAATGGAGCCTGTCCACTTCCTCACACATGACAAAATAAGCATCCCAGGATGTTTCTGCCCCAGTTCACTCATGGAGCTCCACAACACTCATCAGATGATGTAGGCTGACTTCTGGCAGGGCTCTGTGCGTGAACTGGGGTGGCAGCGTGGCAGGATGCTGCACCACCAACATAGTAGCCTCCCTGTGTTCCATTAGGAACAATGAAGCTATTGTGGGAATAAGCCGCGGGATGAAGCTTCTCCATGTGTGATGCCCAGGTGCTGGGATTGCCCTGCTGCTGCCCTGATTCACCACAGAGGCTAGCAAATCGCAACACTGGACCTCTTCAATGTGATGAGGTCCCTAGTCTCATTGAGGGTATATTTGCCACCTCCAAGTAAGACTGCTCTCAGTCTTACTTGTCCTTAACACTTGCACCCCTCTCTCCCCTAGTGCTTTTACTATCCCTTTGTTTACATTATTGATGTCTGCGGGTTCATCAACACTGTAGAATTATTGTAGTTTGACTCTACTTTAAAAGCCATTGCTCAATAGTATTGAATTGTGGGAGATATAGTTTTTCAAAGTGTTATGTCGTCTTTGCCAGAGAGTAATGGTGTCTCACAAAACTACAACTCCCATGATTCCATAGCATTGATTCATGCCAGTTAAAGTGATGTCAAATCGCATTAATTGAACTTCGTAGATGCACCCTGTGTCTCTAATCTACACTCTAATGTAGTGAGGGTAGGCATGCCACCCTAGCTGAAGAAGGACTGGGAGATGACTCTGTGGATTAGCTTTAAAAAAACTTTCCAAATATCTACTAATATACTGGCTGAATTTCAACTATATCTAAGGATATATCATCAGATTCTATAGGAGCCTTACTTACAATTCAGTGTAAGGGTTTTCAGAATCTAGGATGTTGGCAATATGAGAGGCAATGAAGCTTTTCACTTGTTCATTCTTGTCCCTCTGAAGAGTTTTAATGACTTTGGAGATGTCAGAGGTGGAAGGATTTCTCATCAGCATTAGATAAGCTGCCAGCCGTTTATCAACTGGAGAAGAAGCTTCTTGGAGGACCTTAACGAGAAGTCCTCGATCCTGCAAAAGTCAGAAGGATTGGATGTTATAGTACAAAAATAGCAGCAAGGAATGCCTGTTGTTATTTGAATAAATATTTGAGTCACCATGCTCAAAGTTGAAGTTTTTTTTTTACAATCTCAAGTGAAATTCTTTGAATTCAAAAGTTATTGTAACTCAAGTGTGCTGGTGGCCCGTCTACAGCACCAAGATGTTTTAAGTAACTTTTAGTATTGTGGTTTTTATTCAGAAGTGTATTTGTGTGTGTGTGTACTTATATATCACAATTAAGTGAAGTACTTTTAATATAAATTTGAGTCAGGTGATGATAACTTATTTGTGCATAGAAACAAAGTGGAATGTATTTGATTACCAATCTAAAGCCTAATAAAGGAAGAGGAAACAAATAAACACGATGGTATCATAATAACACACTCAGATTTACCTCATCATTTATAGTCATTTTCCTCAGTGCCTGAATAGCTGCTTTCTGGACTTCAGGGGATGCAGCATTACTTCTAATACATGTTTTTACAGAGTTTTTCAGATCGGCATTGTTCTCGTCCAGTGCATTTCCCATGTTGCCAATAGCCTGTAGATCACATTCAAAAGGTACAAATTAATTTTCTCCAACCAACCAATATTAGCAGGTAACTAGAGTTTGGAAATATTATTTTGAGGAGATATATTCCCTGGTTCCCTAGCCAGGATGGTTAATGGCACTTTTTTTTCTTGTGAGGACTACATGTAAAAGGTAAAGGTTTCCCTTTGACATTAAGTCTAGTTGAGTTTGACTCTGGGGGATAGTGCTCATCTCCATTTCTAAGCCTTGTCCATAGATGGCTCCAAGGTCATGTGGCCAGCATGACTGCATGGAGCGCCATTACTACATGTAACCAACATTAAATAATGCAGTTCTTTTTCTCCTTTTAATTACCTTCAAAGTCAGGTAGGTGAGTTCATCTTCATTGGAGCATTCGTTGCCAATCAGTGATATCATAAAATTTGCCACATCATTTATTTCTTTTTGCAGAGGGCCTATTTCACGATAGAATCTGGAAAGTAAGAAGAATGCATCAAAGGTCTTCAGACATGCCAGGGCCACTCACAGAAAAGAAGAACAAGTGGTGGACCCAAGGGATAAAGTCATCTTACTATTTTACTGCAAGTCATCTTACTATTTTACTGCAAGAACCATATCATTTTGTTATCAAGATATGGCTGAAAAGAACTTTGCCATAAACTCTTAGGAAAAATTATTTCTGAAAGCTAGGCATTAAAAGAACGCCACAGTTTAATGTTAATATTTCTTGCTAGTGCGGGAAGGAGTTGTACATAGTGTTACACTAAAGCTTCCAAATATGGGAAATTGATTTAATTTTAGTGTTCTGCAGAATGGAGATTGAAAAATCCTTGGAAAAAGTTTCTAAGGTAGAGTTTTTTCTTCTAAAGTACAGACAGTCCCTGAGTTACAAACATCCGACTTACAAATGACTCATAGTTAAGAAACAGGAGGAGACAATAGAAAGAGAGGGAAATCCGCCTCTCAGAAGGGAAATTCACTCCTGAAAGAATTTCCACGGGGAAAAGGTGTCCCTACTGAAGCTTTATCAACAATCCTTACATACAAATTCAGTTTAAGAACAACCCTGCAGAATCTATCTATACTGGGAACTGCCAGTATACCGGTGTTGATGCTGAATTTCATTTTCCTGTTAAAAATGCACCAACAAGTGACATACCTATTTACTGCATGACTCAAGGCATAAAAAGTTCCTCGACTTTGCTGATATTGGGCCATGTTAAGGAGTTCCTGTATCATCCTGGTAGAGGGAGAAGATAGTAGCCCCAAGCTGTACGTGATGGTATCTGCTATAAGCGGATCAACATTGCTGGTCCTCAGTATTTGGAGGAGAGCTCCATAGCATTCTAGGGTGCCACACTGACTTAGAGCCTGTATCGTGATGGAACTAAGGAGAAAACAGAGAAACAGAAAATAATACTGATTTGAAGGGGGTGGAATATGTCTTCCTTACACTATCAATATAACACCCACTTTACATGTTCATGATTATTTCATTTGTTTTCAAAACTCAAGTTAACTTAATTATAGTCAACTCACTGTTGGAACAGCAGCAAAAATCCAAAATAATATTTCCAAAACAAGTTTATATACTCCTGGAGATCATATCAAGCAATCCTCAAAATAATATAAGACCTGATTGATAAAAAAATAGATAGCAAATTCTTATGAGAACAATTCTGAAGGTGCCTAAGTTACATGGCTCATTGTGGTGGAAGGAGCTGTGGTGGTGCAATGGGTTAAACCCTTGTGCCAGCTGAACTGCTGACCTGAAGGTTGGCGGTTCGAATCTGTGAGATGGGGTGAGCTCCCCTCTGTCAGCTCCACCTTCCCATGCAGGGACATGAAAGAAGCCTCCCACAGGATGGTAAAACATCTGGGCATCCCCTGGGAAAGGTCCCTGCAGATAGTCAATTATCTCACACCAGAAGTGACTTGCAGTTCCTCAAGTCACTCCTGACATGAAAAAAGATGTGAAATCCTGAGTATTCTATTTGTCAGAAAAGGCCAAGAACTTGAAAAAATACAACTCCCAGGATTTAATGTCAAACTGTATTTATTCTATAGTGTAAATTTGTGAAAATTCTGATTTGAATGTTTGAAATTAATCCTGATGGCCTAGAATTCAGTATATGGCCTAGATTTCATCACCATGAAATAATGTTTCAGTTTGGGTGATGACAGCGCATTTAGTACTTAATAGATAGCTTGTAGGATAAAAAAAAAACCCCAAATGTCTTAGATGGTCTTATAGGAATAAACTGTTTTGATTTTTTTTTAAATCTATGACTTTTATGCCTATGCTCTATTCATGGAAAAGCTTTCTATCTCTTGCTGTTCCCTCTAATCCTTATTTGTAACATCTGCCTTTCTATTGCATCATCTCAAGAACTGGCTTATATGTAACAGAGCTGAACACCTCATGTGCAGTTTGTTTGCTATCGATTTAACTGTATTGACACAACCATGATTAATAAATTACCTGGAAGTTTCCATCAGCTTTGGCACCAGAGGACCCAGAGTTTCATTGTGCAAGACCCTCAGCCCAGTTACAAATCGGTAGAAGAGGCTGGCTCTTTTCTGGTTTTGCTGGGTGACTGAGAGTCTCTGCAGTTCCTGGAGGATTTTCAGAACAGCATCATTCTTGGAGGACTTGGTCTCGACACCTTCCAAGGACAGCTGTCTTTTTCGCAGGCCATAGACTGCAAAGTAATATGACTTTTTAGAATACAACCCCTGACAATTCCTTTTGAAATATAACTGAATGGCATGCTGCTATGGTTGCAATAGGTAGAAGGCCTGTGAATTCAGGAAGTGTATTTTTCTATCTCTCTGCCTACTGCTATTTCCTCAGTATGCCACCTTGATATTTATTTATTTGGTAGTTTTGTATGCCGGTCTTCTCACCTCCATTCGAGGGACTCGGGCCGGTTTCCAACATCAATATTACAGACCGTCATTAAAACATCATATTTCTAAATCACACTAAAACATTAAAACATGAAACAATTAAAATGGCAAAAATACAATCATATGATTACAGTGGTCAGTCGTCATCAAAGTCATTATTCGTCGTCATCCATCCATATCACAGGATCATGGCTCATTCGTTGAATGCCAATCCCCAAAGCCAGGTTTTCACCTGTTTCCTGAACGTTAAGATCGAAGGGGCAGTTCTGATCTCCAGTGGAAGGGAGTTCCAGAGTCGAGGGGCCACCACCAGAAGGCCCTGTCTCTCGTCCCCACCAGCCGCGCCTGTGAGGCCAGTGGGATCGAGAGCAGGGCCCCTCCAGACGATCTTAGTAATCTTGATGGCTCATAGGGGAGGATACATTCGGACAGGTAAATTGGGCTGGAGTTATCCTCTTTATCTACAAAACTGGTTTTATAAAAGGAGTCATTGAATAAATATTTCTTTAAGGTGCATCCAAGGGGTGAATTGTAATAGTAGATCCCGCACTGTGAGGTCAGAGACATAGCAATCCTAAATACCCCTAGAGGTTTTTTTTTATTGTTTTAAAGGGGTGCTTCCAAGCTCAAGGGGCGTTTGTGCTATGTTTTTGACATAGCACAAACGAGATCTGACCTATTACAGTGCGAGATCTAACCTATTATAGGCCATGGGGGACTGTTTCTCAAACTCCATTTTTGTGTCCCAAAATTCAAACAGTTGTTCAGCAAGTGGTCATATTCAGTGTGTTGTGCAAAATGCACTTCTCTGCCTAAACATATTTTTGCACTTTTCCCCCCAGAGAGATGAAATACTCACAAAAAATACAGAGGAACAAAAATATCATTAATCACTTGCTATCCTTACATTTAATAATCAAATCAATAAAGATTTTGATCTTTAATCCAGCCTAGATAGTTGCATTTCCCCTCCATTCTTCTTTAGAGTGGATCAAAAGTCTTATCTTAAGTTCACATCCTCCACTAAAGACTAGGAGGAATTATCCATTTTTCTTCCTTTTATTTAAGATGTCCACATCCCCCTTTTTAAATGTATGATCCATTAAGAAAAGCTTCATTCCTTACCATCCATTTCTCTGTTGTTGATTTTGGGGGTGTCTTCAATTCTCAAAACCTGCTTGACAGTTGCCATCATGCCATATTGATTCCTAATACACATCAGAAAAAATGAGCATAATTTTTGCACTGTCTCCATAAGAAGCCTTAATTAAAACCATAGTTGTCACCCACATTATAGAGCTAGAACAGCATGCAACTTACTTGTATGAGGAAGGCAGAAACAAGTGCTTCTCAGAACAGACTGCTCCAGAGATATGCCTTTTCTTGGGATCAATTGTATACTGACAATGCTGCTTGCTGCTTATCAAGGTGGATAATGGAGCATTCTGTGAAACACAGTAGTGGTTGAGTTAGTTTTATAGTCAGAAGTAGTGAAATAGCATACGTTTAGCCCAGCTCAGGGAGAAAAGATCTGTTTCTTTTGATTTCTTTTGCATTTAAATTGTTTTGTTTTGTTTTGTTTTTTTTTAAAAAAGCTTGAAGCACTTTCTATCTGAAGCATAGATAGAAATGCACATTTTTGACAAAATCTTCAAGAGTGAACTGAAATTATTCTGTCTCTCATCTGAACTGTCCAGACTCAGCAGGAACTATATCACAAGGACATTGAGGTACTTCCTTGTCAAACTAATGGACATTTCTTGGGGGAAAGAGTTCTCAACCTTAATTCAACACCACAAACATCCATAAAGGAAGAAAAGAACAGTCAAACACTGATTTTAAAGCATTAAAACACTCAAAGCTGTGGACTGATATGGATGAATCCATCTGTTTTGTTATCACCCCTTAAAATATCAATGTTGTTTCATTCAAAACATGAAGATATTTACACACTTGGAATATTATTTTTAATAATCCCTTCCTTTGCATTATTATCTTAATATTATTGATTTACTACTGTGAAATGAGATCTTATCACTTTATTGAAAAGTCGGCCATCAAGCTTTACTGTTTTCTGAAAAGTGTAGGAGGGCATCAATATTACAAGGGGTGCACGAACTTATTCCCACATTCTGATCCTATCTACTTACCAAGCCTTTAATGAGGGCGATCGGGCTGACGAAATCTCTGATGGGTATAAAATTGTCACAGGATTTCAGATCTCTCTTGATCTCAATTTCTCCTACAGTGGCAGCACCATTCCTCCTGTTTTTGATTTCACTCTCACATTTCCCATAGACAGTATCCTAGAAAGAAGAAAATATACATTTTCCATTGTGTCCTTAAAAACAGTGGACATGTATATAAAAAGGATTCCCCGATCATCCAAACTTTAGCTTCCCTGTTGTGATCAAGTACTTTAACTGGATCACTCTAGTTCGCTTCAGTTTGTCAATGAAAAGGGAAAACTGTGATGAACACACTGCTTACCATAGTTAATGTCTGGGCTTCAGAGTCTGTCTCTAATGGCACTATAAGAGCAGAGATGATGCCTCTCTTGATGTTGAGTATGTGCATAGGTTCATCATCCTCAGCATACAGCTGGACTTCATTCCGATCCTTAATTGTGAATTTTAGCTCATACCTGTCCCCCAAAAAGAAAGATGGGGTTTACAGTAAGAAAGGGGAGGGACCCTAGATTTCATAGCCATGGAATACAGTTTTCCACTATCTCCCACTTTCATGGAAGTCAGTGAAATGCCACTTAGAGTCTGAAGCAAATTAGTTTTCCTTTCCAAAATTTTATTTGAGTTTCCATCATTACTGCAAAAATCTGGTGGGTTTTCACTCTGTCTTGAGAACCAAGGAGAAAAATAATTCAAATATATATACTGTTGGCCCTACGTATTTACAAGTTTTGCCTTTGTAAATTTGATCATTTGCAGTTTTAATTACTATCTTTTCTTTGGTAACCTCTAAGTCCTCTAGCGTGAGTTCTTGGTCAATGCCTATGCAAACGTCTAACCCTAACCCTAATGTCTATGGAAATCGTGCTTGAGGAACTAGCAGTTCCTAGAGAGAAAACAGTGCAATTCCAGTGGAAGCTGACCATAGAGTCACACTGGAGAACATAGACACTCCTAGAGAAGTATACATGCAGGGAAAAAAGACTAAAATAATATTTTATTCATTATTTTTTCACTTTCATGGGGGGTCCTGATCCTCTAACCCCAGCAAATGTGGAGGAATGACTGTATAAATCTGCAAACAAATTAATCATTGTGCCTGTCTCAAAAATGTTTATAACTTAGCTCAGTACAATAAAGATTTCAAAAGTATAACTTCCAAATTTTAGGATACTACCATTATGTATTCTGGTAGAAGTGGTCATGATTTTCTTTTTAAGAGCTGTAATAACAGTATGCATTGTTACTCGTATTTACTAACATAAACATTTTATGCAGTTTGTTTTCTATTGACCCAAAGTATGTTTAAGTGCATTTTAGGAACTTCTAATCATGCAAATCTTTCAAGCATACAAATGATTTTGTATGCATAGCTTCCTTCATCAGGCACGCCGGCAAATCTCCCATATGGAGGATTTTCGGTTTTTCATTTTCTGCAGTGCTAGAGATATTGCAGACAATGTTCTTATTTTGTCTCCCTGTAGCTACATCCCATTATAACTATCCAAAGGTTTGAGTATTATACAAAGATTTGTGTTCACATAGTTTATATAGAAACTAAGGTGAAGCCAGTGCACCCACTTTGAAAGTAGCAAAACACCATGGCTTGGGTGAAGGCTCCTTAAGAACACTAAAGAATTCACAACAAAGATCTCATGGAAAATTAGATTTGATTTAGTTTTTCTTACTTGGACATGGCCATGGCAAAGTCATCTGAGCTCTTTGATTTCTTCAGCAGAGCTTCTCCCTCAGGATTAATACCAGACACCTCGCGGAGGCTACACTGGCTTGTCCTTAGGTTGAAATGACATAGTTGAGGGACTTCCAGCTCAACCTGAAACAAACAAATACTGATTAAGACATCAATGGTCCAATCTTTAGATTTCTTGCAATAAATGAAATTTGAAGCTGAGAGAGGGAGACATCCTATCAATTGCTTAAGACGTAATGTTCACAGTAACAGAATCATAGCCATTTAGTTGTTATATTTATTTATATTTCACCCTTTCCCCAGACTGGGATTCAAGTCAGCTTACAAAAACAAAAATAACTACACAGTTGTGTCATACAAATACAAAATATGTAATTAATTTATCAATTAAATCAGGATAATTTAAAAACGTAGCTGACATTATACAACAGCCTTTCCCTTGAGCAATTAGTATTCAACGGTCATCATGGTAAGGACTAGAAAATATTCAGATTACCAAAAATATGAGTGTGTGCTTTTATTTTATCCTACATGAAAAATAGTCCCTCTTTTTTCTTTTTTGGGGTGATGTATGAGGAAATGTCTTATCATATGTATTAGCTTGGCCATGGGAAGTGTATCACAGGTGGGATTGCTTACACATTTCTCTTCTGTAAAATAGAGTAGATGGTGGTATTATTACAATGGGTTCTTGGGATCTATTAGGATTTGGTTCCAGACCTCCTGTAGATGCCAAAATGCATAGATGCTCAAGTCCGATTATATTCAATGGCATAGTAAAATGATGTCCCTTATATAGAATGGCAAACACAATGTTTTGGGGACTAAAAATATTTTCAAGCTATGGGCAGTTGTGTTCTTGAATGAAGAATTTGTGGATACAGTGAGCGTATGACAGAAAGGGAGACATATAGAGGAAAGAAGGCTGCCACTCTTTTAAAAAAATAGGATCAATGGGGTTAGCATGACTGAGGCCAGGGATATAAATTATATAAGTAAGTCAACATGCGAAATTCAATTCTATTACAATCTATTAAATAAGTATTTTCCAACCCCTGCACAAAAGAGGCATAGCTCCATGTGAAGATCAACTTCAAGCATTTTTGGATCAAATCCCACTGTGCCTCCGGACAGCTAAATATAAGTCAGCCAATGGTGGCTGATGGATCCCATATCTATGGGTTGGTGAGTCTATTCAAAGCTTCAGCTTAAACTTTAAAAGAAATATCCAAGATGCTGACTCATATTCCCAAATGAGCATTAACATCTTCTGTAGTTCTTTAAAGTGTATATTAAATCCCAGAGTGCATTTTCCACTTCAGTAAGCTATCCTCAAAAGCAACTCTTGCTTTTTCTCCTTTTTATATAAAATATATAGAACATTTTCCCCAGATAGGCAAAGGAATCAGCCTCTTACTTATTTGAATAGTGCTTGTATGTTTTAGAACAGATACAAATACATTATTGTACCATAATAAGGAATTGACCATGTGCCTTTTGGGGATGATGATTTGATGTCCAAATGACTGGGTTCTTTCTCTTTTCTTACCTTGCAGACAATTTTGGAGCCACTGCGTGTATCTGCTGTTCCTGTCACCCCACTTGTCGTTTCTGCTTCATAATTATAGACATATTTTCTGAGATGCTTAAACCTGGTTGTTTCTCCTATAAGATATAAACAAGAATAAATCTTTACACATGTAGTTACTGATTTTTTTAAAAACACACCCTTTGAGTTTTAAACACTGCAATCTTTTTTCCACAATATTTCTAAGTAAGACTTTAAAGCAGTCGTTCTCAACCTGTGGGTCCCCAGATGTTTTGGTCCACATCTTCCAGAAGTCGCAGCTAGTTTACCAGCTGTTAGGATTTCTGGGAGCTGAAGAGCAAAACATCTGGTGACCCCCAGGTTGAGAACCACTCCTCTGAAGGCTTTGATGAAAAACTATGTTTTAATTTGGTATTTGAATGACACCAAGATCAGCACCTGTTGAACCTCCAAAGTGAAGGCATTTCATGATTGAGATATCACAACAGAGAAAGTTCTCCCACACATCTTCACAAATGCATTGGCCCCACAAGTGGGATGCAATGGGATGCTCTCAAGTAGACCTTGGGGCAGGTGATTTCAGAGAGACTTTATCCATCAGATTATGTACACAATCTTTTTAACCATCTGGATTTTAAACATCTCCACATGTAAACATATAGCTGGTAGTATTCTTCACACTTAAGGCAGTAAGAAACTTGAACAAGAAAATAATAGAAATTCTGGGTTGTTGTAGGTTTTTTCAGGCTATATGACCATGTTCTAGAGGCATTCCCTCCTAATTCTTCTTTCCTGGTTGTTTCTTCTTTAACAACATTGCATTTGATTGTGATTTTTTTACTGCATTTTTTTTGCTGGGAGGGATGAGGGCTAAGCTCCTTCTTTTCTCTGACCACACAAAATATGGATCGACATGTGGATGAAGCTCAAAAACATCAGCAAGGGATAATGGATGTGTAGCTTTCCAGATGTTAAATGTCAAGTCCCATCAACCTTATTCTGCATGGCCAATGGTGCAGGATACTAGGAGGTGTTCTCCAACAACTTCTGCCTGTTTTACATTCCCGAATCTAGAGGCTAGTATGGTGTACCAGATTTAGTTGGAATGTGGCCTCAATCAGTCATAAAAATCATTGGATAATCTTAGACCAGTGAATATTTCTGCCTAGTCTACCTCCTGAAATGGAAGTAGAAATGAAGGAAGTTTCTTGGAGAGGACATAGGATACATATTAAGAATAAATTTCATGGAGTTGCCATTTTTCATTCTTATGCTGGGTAAATAACATTTAAATGGGAAATATACAATTAATACATGTTGGAGTACCCCAACCAATTGCAGTCATACCTGGAGCTGTTAGGGGCAATCCTACCCAAATATATGAAAAACTATGTTTTCTATTCACACTCTGTATGTGTCTTGTACATGATCATTGGCAGTCTCAGCTTTTGGTAAACTGTGCATTGGTTCTTAGTGAAGACTTGAGCTTTGGTCCCATTGGTGGCAGCTGGTGGCCCTATGTCAATGGGTGACCAATTTGTTGCAAGTTTTACTCCAAACTGAGAAGGCGTTATCAAAAATATTTTTCTTATTTTGGTGATCATATTTGTCACGTTGGACAGCTCCTTTAAAGTTTGGATTCACCACATCATTAGCATGAAAACACTCCGTTGCTTCTGGATCCACTCAAAACCAGCTATTACTATACCACATAGGCATTTCAATCTCCCATTATGCACTTTTCAGAACTTTCAGTATGAACTATCTTTTCCAGCAAGTAACTGGAGAAGAGTATTTGATAAAACCAAATGCTAAATATTACTATTTCAGTATGAGAATAAGAAACAAGGAATCTCTTTCAGGTTTATAAATTCTTAACAGTTTTCCCACTATCCTTTAAAGATTTTGTCATGCCTGTTCTAACCTTGCAACCTAGTATCCAGGCATTTGGGCTTAGAGTTCTCATTGTCCTCGCCCTCTGCAGCCCATAGCAAATGATGTTAGGGCTTGTCCAAATTATCTGGAGGGTCAAAGGTTCCCCAAAATTGTTTTCAGTTATTCATATAATCATAAAAAATAAAGATATTAAGTCTTTAGACATTAAGTCTAAATGTGTACGACTCTGGGGGTGGTCCTCAACTCCATTTCTAAGACGAAGAGCTGCCGTTGTCCATAGACACCTCCGAGGTCATGTGGCCAGCATGGCTGCATGGAGTGCTGTTACCTTCCTGTAGACGCGGTACTTATTGATCTACTCACATTTGTATGTTTTTGAACTGTTAGGTTGGCAGAAGCTGAGCCTAACAGTTGGAGTTCACCTTGTTCCCAAGATTTGAACCTCTGACCTTTTGGTCAGCAAGTTCAGCAGTTCAACAGTTTAACCCATTGCACCACCATGGCCTTCTAATATAATGATAAATGTATCAATATCTCTGAGCATTAGTTGTCTTCTGGATAAGACAAGAGGAAGATAATGGTAAAAACTGGGAGGATGTAGAACAGGATATTGAGTAGCCCCAGCCCTGGAGATTCCACATTGCATGAACACATTGAAAAGGGGTCAGCACTGACAATTTCTGGAAAACCTTCCTCCAGAAAATCAATTTCTCCCCACATATTGGATCCAAGTTGATGGTTTCAATTTGGTTTACTTTGGTGCAGATTCTTTCTTACAGCATTTGAACAGCGGAGTAAGATTCAAGGCCTGCATCTACAACAGCTTTCCCCAACCAAATGTCTTCCAGATGTGTTAGACTACAATGCCTCTCACATGCATCTAACGTGGCCATTGGGGTTGTAGTACAATATATCTGCGAAGCACTAGCTTGGAGATAGCTGATCTATAAGCTTCTTGGCACGTGCATATACCTAAATGTAAGCAACCAATTCATTAGTATTTCAGCTACCAAATTGGTGCTTAAACATATCAAATCCAGAGAGGTCCATGGGACCAAATGACTCGAGGTGGAAAAACTTGTGTGACTCTTATCGGATAAGATCTATACCAATGAAATGACAATGTAACTATTCATGTTTATCAGTACATTGCATTTTGCACACTTAGTGTCTATCGAATATATTCCTCTGGTGAAATTTGGAATTAACACTTGCAGAATGTGAAGCACTTTGAGCTTAAAATGTGAGATAATCATGTTTGTCTGTAGATGGTGCTAAAGCTCTGTGCCCAGAAAAAAAGTTTCTTATCAGGGAACAGAGAGCAAAACACCAACTCAGGAGATACTTTGACCCTCAGGATGAACATTATGTATCCAGCTGATCACTCAGGAACAAACAAACTTTTATACAAAGGTTGCTCGAAACACTTCCCAATCCTATTCTCTCCCTTGTTAATAGGTTATCCGATCAGTATTTTATTTTCAACACAAATTTACTGATATTAATGATTTCCAAAGATGATCCAAACCACTGCAGCAAAATGGGCAATGAGTCCTGTGACACTTTAAATATTGTGTATATGTGTGTGGGTGGGTGTGTGTTTATCAAAAAGGAAAGGAAGGAGGGCAATGTGTCAAAAGGAAGGTTGACAGTGAATGTAGAAACATGTTTGGATTTGCATGCTTGAAGAATGGAAGGAGGGAAGGGTTGGAAAGAGATATCCCTGCTTCTTGTGCACATCCCTGCTTCAAGTGAATGCTGATGATTACATCAATGTATTAAAAGCAATGCTTTAATCAATTTTGTTACTTAGAATCATAGAATCACAGAATCCTAGAGGTAAAGGAGAACTTGTGGGCTATTCAGTCCAATCCCCTGCCAAGAAGCAGGAAAATAGCATTCAAAGCACCCCTGGCAGATGGCCATCCAGCCTCTGCTTAAAGGCCTCCAAAGAAGGACCCTCCACCACACTCCAGGGCAGAGTTCCACTGCTGAACAGCTCTCACAGTCAGGAAATTTTCCTAATGTTTTTCCTGTAGTTTGAAGCCATTGTTCCGTATCCTAGTCTCCAAGGCAGCAAAAAACAAGCCTGCTCCTGCCTCCTATGATTTCCCTTCACATGGCCATCATGTCTACTTTCAGCCTTCTCTTCTTCAGGCTAAGCAGGCCCTGCAGTTTAAGCCACTCCTCATAGGGCTTGTTCTCCAGACCCTTGATAATTTGAGTCGCCCCCCTCTGGATACATTCTGGCTTGTCAACATCTCCCTTCAATTGTGGTGCCCAGAATTGGTCACAGTATTCCAAGGCAGAACAGAGGGGTAGCCTGACTTCCCTGGATCATGACACCATGCTCCTATTTATGTAGTACTTAATGCTTTAAAAACTTTTGTATCACAATGTTTTGGCCATCTGTTTTAACTTGTATGGTAGAGTACTCTGAGTTTCATTTCAAGAGGCAGGCAAGGTATAAATCAAATAAAAAAATAAGATAACAATAAGAACAATAAACATTTTACTGCATTTTCAGATGCTTAAAAAACTGGACTGAGGTTGATAGCACTCTCCCAACACACTGAGTTTCATACATTGGGATGACAATTTCACAAATGAATCCTGCAATATAATCAATCACTGAAAATGCACAAGAACTCTTATAATGTCATAAGGTAGGCAGGAAACATTTGAAATTCTTTGTGTGTGAAAGAATGAGATGAGCAAGGATTTCTGTCCCTTCTTTACAGGAGAGCCATTTAAATCAATGAGATATGAATTAAGCACAACTATGGCCCCTTCCACACAGCTATATAATCCAGAATATCAAGGCAGATAATCCCACAATATCTTCTTTGAGCTGGGTTATCTGAGTCCACACACAGATAATGTGGGATTTTCTGTCTTGCTTTTTTGGGATGTAGGGCTGCATGGAAGGGCCCTTAGACCCTTCTACACTGCCGTATAATCCAGATTATCAAAGCAGAGAATCCACATTACCTGCTTTGAACTGAATTATGTGAATCTACACTGCCATATAATCTGGTTCAAAGCATATAATCTGGATTTTATATGGCAGTGTAGGAGGGCCCTTCTGCACTGCCATTTAATCCTGAAAATCAAGGCAGATCATCCACATTATCTGCTTTATACTGGATTGTGTGAAGAATCTACACTGCCATATAATCAAGTTCAAAACAGATAATTTGGATTTTATATGGCAGGGTAGAAGGGGCCTATTTCAATTGCCATGGAAACAACCTATGGAATTCTGGGATTGGGGGTCAAGGAGGGGAGTCTGGGATTGGAAGTCAGCCAATGAGCTCTTGGGGTTTACAAAACCTGAGATCTTCTCTCAACATCACTCAGGGCCCTTCCAGACAGGTCCTATATCCCAGGATCTGATCCCAGGTTTTCTTCTTTAAACTGGATTATATGAGTCCGCACTGCCAGATAATCTGGGATAAACAGAAAACCTGGGATCAGATCCTGGGATATAGGGCCTGTCTGGAAGGCCCCTCAGGGTGCCTCTACATTGCAGAATTAATGCAGTTTGATCCTACTTTCACAACCATACTCAATGCTATGAAATTTTGGGATTTGTAGTTTAATGTGGTACCAACATTATTTTGCAGAGAAGGCCAAAGTCTTTGTAAAACTATATCTCCCATTATTCTATAGCATTATTTGAGCCAAGACCAAGAGGTTGATGTACCTTAAGTCTGACCTGATCCATTTCCTAAAGGAAATGTAGGTAAACAGTTACTGGCAAGCAAAGCTAAAAAGCAAATAAGCAAATGAGTCAGCTACATCTTTTTGGTGATAAATAGCAATAGATTTCCTCCCCTGAATTTGCACGCCTTACAGACATTTTCCTTTGAAAAAGTAAAGTTTTTAAAAAGCAGCAGAAAACAAAATGAATAAAAATACCAGAACACTAAAGGGAATACTAGAACAAAATCACGACCAGTCACAAAAACATATCAAATTTCAGCTCATCTTGCAGTTTCACACAATCCTGCCAGATTCAATCACAAGCACAATGCAATGAGTGTGTTTCCACAGTGGACCAATTATACACTGATGCGTATCTATAAAGACACATTGAAATCTGGCACTAAGAATTCACCAGCACAAATAGTTTAAGGAATTGGAAAGAAGAGAAGAAGAAAACTGATGGAAGGACTCACTTGAACAAAGTGGATTTGTATTTTCAGAGCCATCATCTTCTGTAAAATAAAATAAAAATGGAATTAGCTCCACATTTTCTAGCATGCCTGTAAATAAACAGTGTGCAGAAAAAAAGGGAGCGCATATAGAAACAACATAACCATAATGTTAGTAATATGGGACTATTATGTTTTGGACTTAGGACAGATTTTGAGAGTGTACCACAACAATGTAGGAACACTTTTACCTCCTATGTATCATAAGGAATAGATGCCTTCATGAACAGGGAGCCCTTCCATACAGCCATATAACTCAGAATATCAAGGCAGAATAACCCACAATATCTGCTTTGAACTGGAATATTTGAGTCCACACAGCAATATATTCCAGTTCAAAGCAGATAATGTGGGATGTTATTCAGCTGTGTGGAAGGGGCGCAGAGCTACACTGGGATTATCTATCTATCTATCCAGGCCCGTAGCCAGGATTTTAATTCTGTGTGTGTGTGTGTGTGTGTGTGTGTGAAATTGATTCGGGGGGGGGGGGGGAGACTGAGTCTGAGTGAAAGAGGGTCTACCCTAGCAAACCTTTTGTATCGTTACCCCAATACCATGCATATGGGATATATTGAGTATGGTGATCAGATCATGATATGAATAAACATAACAGTTTAAATAATGTTTATTCATATCATGAAGTCAACCATTACGCCAAGTAAGCATTCGCAGTATAGTTGATTTTGCCCAGGGGAGCTCTTGAGGCGCTTGGGGGAAAATAGACCTTGACATATGCGAGTTGTAGTTACTGGGATGTATAGTTCACCTACAATCAAAGAGCATTCTGAACTCCACCAATGATGGAATTGAACCAAATATGGCACACAGAACTCCCACGACGAACAGAAAATATATATCAGTGATGTTGGGGGGGGGGGCAAAATACTGTTTGCTTACCATTGAAAATTACCTAGGGCCGCCTCTGTGAATAGGTAAATATGAAATAGGAAGAATTTGGGCGGGGGCGCTGAAGCCCCTCAAGCCCCCCCCGGCTACATGCCTCTGTCTGTCTATCTATCTATCTATCTATCTATCTATCTATCTATCTATCTATCTATCTATCATCTCCATCTCTCAAAGGATATATTGTACAATATCATCAAACATCCAATAAATAGATTTGTGATGTTGTCCATGCTAGCAATAAAATCCCCCCAAACAGCTACAGTTCCAATTTCTCTACTGTGCAAACAAAAAAACTGACTTTTTTTTATAAACACATACTTGCTAAAATTGTAAAATCCTATTGCAAAGATTCATTTGAGTGAGGACATTCATTTACATAATACATGTATTGAGATAAAGCTGCTTTTGACTCTATTTCTAGTCTTTTACTAACTGGAAAGTTTCTTGTGTTTGTGAATGATAATATTTGACTCAGAGAAACAAAAACAATCAGGAAGAGCAACTTCATGCATGATTGGTAAATTAATTTACTATGGAGCATTTTAGCTGATATCTGCACTCCTTCAAAACCAACGTTCTCCTTCAGGCTAGCAACAGAAATCCTGGTTACAAAGGATAACAGAGTTGCTAAAATATTTGTCTTTAGGAAAATGTTGCTCAAAAAAGTAGTTGTATGCGATTCATCATGTGCTTCTCCGACTCAATTGTTAAAATAATATATCTTTCCAGCAATATATAGACAACAGATGAAGCTACATATATAGGAACTGCACAATGCCATTTGATTTGTAATTTGGTTAGTGCAAGGAACTGTCCATTGGAGGCAGTCTGTTATACACATCACTATTAAACACACACAAACAAAATCACTGAAGCCAAAGGCAACTAACAAGCATATTTTGTTCATAAAACAGAACCCAATGGAAATATACTTCCATTTTGATACTAAGCCTGCCAACAACATAATCCTATATATTTACGATCAGATGTACTATATGTATTCATGTGCAAACCTAGAGATTTTAATAAAAGAATTAATTCAAAAAAATCTGGATTGACCTATCCAAGAGTAATGTACCTCAACCTTTTATAGAAAAGGTAACAATCCCCTTCTCTGAGAACACTGGTAAACACCAAGAACATAATCCATACAAGTAAACCCTGTGAGAAGTATTGATCCCATTTATTGTCTCTACCACAAAGTTGCTTCTGGTCCTTTGGAATACCTGGGTAGGGAAATGGCTTTCCCCTTTCTCTGGAATGACCTTCAACATATCCTTGAGTCAAATCAAAATCCATAATTTTGGCCCCCAAACCCACTCTCAACCTATATCAGAGGTTGACATTATACATGGGTATGTCTGGCAAGTCATGGAGGATAAAGTATGGAGGATAAATTCCCATCATATGGAAACCTTACTTGGAGAAACCCATGGGGATTTCATCTTTCACGTATGGAGAATTGGGGTCTTCAGAATACAGATAAACCTTGCATGAAACCACTGACTTAGACTAACTAACACTAGTGACATGTGAAATTTGCCTTTAGGTAACTGGTTCCAGTCCGACTGCCCAATACTGCAATATGTTTAACTCTCAATTAAATTCCACCAACTGGAAAAGACCATACACTTGCTGTAATGTTCACAGGATTATCCCCATGGTATAAGGCTGTAGCTTCATACTACCATGTAGCTTTGTGATGTAGGCAGTACGTTAAAGTAGAATCGTAACTTTTAAAATGTATGAGCCAATTGTTAAAAAATATGTCACAAATCACAAGACTTGTTTTGAGGACTTAAAAATACATAAAGAAGCTCTTCAGCATACACATCATATAACATTTTCTGAGAAAGGTAACCAAACCATGCCAAATCTGATTACATCAGTCATTAAACCTGTTTCTTCTCATTAAAACCACCTTCTGGGTAGACAAAAGATATATCATGCCATGAAACAGAGTGGCCATGAACCAATGCAATGGATGTATGTGTGTCTGAAACACAATTAAGTAGATGTACACAGATCCATTCTTAATAGGTACCAGATCCTCATGGCAACGACCACCATCATCACCATCAACCATTGATGGCCACATGCTCTTTCATCTATAACACATCTAAATTTAACACTGTACTACATTAAATCCTCTCCTCATGCAAGTGGGCAGGGGAGCCCTTCCCACAGAGATTCTCCCTGCATCCCAGGATAAACGAAGATGAGGCCCAACTTACGTGTCCAAGCACCACTGCTCAGTAGCAGGAGCAGCCAGAGCTGCGGGGGACCCATGTTGAGCAAAGGGACCCTTTGCCTGCTCTGCCCTCTCCCCCTCCTCCTCCACTTTCTTGCCTGAGACTGAGTGTTCTTACTTGGACCTGCCTTTAAATAGTCCCTGGGAAAGCAGCTGAGCCAAACGGTTTAGAAAGTTCAGAGCAAATTGCAAAAGGTCCAAAGGTTATAGTCCTCCAGGATCCTCACTGCAAAAGTTACAGGAAAGCTAGTTCGGGAGGCAGGGAAATGAGGAAGGTATGAATATCAAAACATTGCCCTGAGGTTCCTTATTCAGAAATACATGCTTTTTTACAGGTAGATTTGATGGCTAAGTCTTCCACACACACTATATGGTACCTTTTCAATATCATGATATTATCTGTATGAAAAGACCTTATACTTTCATGTCCAAGCACATGCTCTGTGTCAGGATCCTCACTGATACACAGCCTCTGTATTAACATCCTAGGCTATTAGACTCCTGCTAGTTGCATTCAATCTTCTGTTTCACAAACAATCACAGGAGAAGGCAGCCTTGAGCTAACACAACTTGACCCTGGCTAATCTTGAAAAATTTGAGATTAATTCGGATTAGTGTCCGGTAACATCCTGGAATGTTACGATTCCTTACAAGTACAAGAGATACCGTCCACTCTTTGACATTCTTTTGGGGTTGTCCATTTATTTGGGTTGTTTGGAAGCCTTGGCCCTAACTATAATTCTCCATCATGGTCCCTCCCCCTTCTCCCCCCACCCTGTGAGAACCTTATACTAGACTTACATTTTCATGTGTTGAAATGGATCATGGCAACATATTATATGTACTCATGTATAGATTGAACTCTATACAAGTCAAAGGCAAAATTTGGGTCATAATTATGGATTTTGATATGACCCATAAATAAGTTGAGGGCCTTTCTGTGAAAAGGAGAAAATGAGGATGACTGAGGACCCTCATATCAACACAAATATTATGTAACAGTACTATCTATACCAAATGGCCTTATGATTTAGTGGGAAAGTACACAGGGAATGAGGTCAGCATTTGGAGCCCTGCCCTTTGTGCATTTCTGTCTCACATGTTCGAACAAACATTGGGATTGGATTATTATCTGTGCTGTACAATAGAATTACAAGTTGAGCATCCTTTACCCAAATTGCTTGGGACCAGAGGTGCTTTGGATTTTTGCTTTTTTCAGATTTTAGAATATTTGCACACACATAATGAGATATCCTGAAGATCCAAGTCAACACACAAAATTCATATATTTTTCATATACACCTGAAAGTGATTTTATATAAAATATTTTTCAGAACTACGTATGTGAAACGAAGTTTGTATGTGCGAACCATCATAAAGCAAATGTGTCATTGTCTTATCCTCCCCTTTGGAAAAATTTGGATTTTGGAGCATTTCAGATTTCTAGATAAGGGATAGTCAGCCAGTATAAAGGACTGGCAGCATGGAAGCAACAAAGTTGTACATTTTTAAATATCTTGTAATGTAATTAATTCAGCTCCAACATTTAATTCTAAAGAGTCCCAAATACATTTGTGAAAACAGATTTTTTTAATGGAAAAAAAGATTGTGGTGTGGGATACTGTTGAACTGCCCAGGCACTGGTGTTCATCTATTTTTCAAAAGTTTAATTCCTCAGAATTTCAAAAGTATTTTAAAAAGAAAAATGGTTATAAAATTGTGTGCTAAAGCCACAATTTTATAGCCAAATCACAATCAACACTATATAACAAAATATAAAATCAATGAAACAATAAGTTAGGACACTCTCTATAGCACAGCAGTAGAAAGTCACCAACAGTTTTTCATTCAGTTGGTGGTTCCTTAGGAGTCTCAGGTAATACAGTACTCTTAACCAACACTGCCGTATGGGTGCCTTATGGTACTGAGATGCTGGTTTGGGTTGGCACTTCTGTATTTTTTATAACACTATGAAAAAATGAGCCACATATTCCAGATTAGAGAATTCAAAACCAAAGCAAAACACAAATCTGGCTCCAGCATTACACTCATCCTATTTTTTAAAAAAACAGCAAAAGTCAAGATGAGAAACAGTGTTAACTTTATAATACTCAACTCCTGGAACAATTCCATTAGCATTGCCTCCGAAAAATCCTACAAATCTCTTGGAAAGATAGGTGGACAAATGACAGCATGCTGGAAGAAGCAATGACTACCAGCATTGAAATGATGCTTCTACACCATCAACTCCGCTGGACTGGCCATGTTGTCTGAATGCCCGATCACCGTCTCTCAAAGCAGTTACTATACTCCCAATTCAAGAACAGAAAATGGAATGTTGGCAGACAGGAAATGAGATTTAAAGCTAGGCTTTAAGCCAACCTTAAAAACTGTGGCATAAACACTGAGAACTGGAAAGGCCTGGCCTTGAGCACTCTAACTGGAGGTCAGCTGTGACCAGCAGTGCTGTGGAATACGAAGAGGCACAAATGGAGGGCGAAAGGGAGAAATGTGCCAAGAGGAAGGCGTGTCAAGCCAATCCTGATCGGGACCTCCTTCCACCTTGAAACCCATTCCCTCACTGTGGAAGAACATGCGGGTCAAGAATAGGGCTTCACAGCTGAACAGGCCAAACAGGGCATAGGTTTATAGCCTGTGTTGGATGGGGTTACACTTCCCCTGACGACACAGGTTCGCAGCTTGGGAGTGATTCTGGGCTCATTGCTGAGCTTGGAACCCCAGGTGGCCAGGAGAGCTTTTGCACAAATCTTGTGCGCCAGCTGCGCCCGTACCTTGGGAAGTTTGACTTGACCGTGGTGGTCCACGCTCTTGTTACATCCCAAATAGACTACTGCAAGGCACTCTACATGGGGCTGCCTTTGAAGACTGTTCGGAAACTTCAACTAGTCCAACGGTCAGCAGCCAGGTTGCTCATCAGAGTGGCGTACAGGGAGCACACAACTCCTCTGTTACGCCAGCTCCACCGGCTGCCAATGAGTTTCCGAGCACAATTCAAAGTGCTGGTTTAACCTTTAAAGCCCTAAATGGCTCTGGCCCAGACTACCTGCCCAAAAGTATCTCCTGGTATGAACCATCATGGAACTTAAGATCATCTGGGGAGGCCCTGCTCTCGATCCCACCGCCACTGCAAACACGATTGGTAGGGACGAGGGAAAGGGCCTTCTCGGCAGTGGCCTGCCATCTGTGGAACTCTCTCCCCAGGGACATCAGACTGGCCACCTCCCCCCTCTCTTTTAGAAGGAAACTGCAGACTTGGGACCAGGAATTTGACCAGTGAATAGCGACAAGTGGAAAGAAGACTTAGGCAACTCATGATAATGAATTAACCCAGACTTGGATTTGGTTTTTAACTGGCATGTTTAATCAATTGCTTTAATGAACTGTTTTAATGTTTTAATATACTGTTGATTGTTTTGTGGTGCTTTTGTGAGGCTGCCCTGAGTCCCCCCTCGGGATGAGAAGGGCAGGATATAACTATAGGAAATAAATAAACAAACTACATACTCACAACCAAACACTATGCTTGGAAGGCCATCAGACAACTAGGGATTGCCTAAGTAAGTAAGTAAGTAGTGATTGGATGTTATAATATTGGTCTTGCTTCAGGTGTAAGTGATGGACTTATGTCACTTATACTGACAACCCAACCAATAAACAACTGAACTCATAAAAATCAGAAGCAAATTTTGTGAGGGACAACTTGATAAACAGAATCTATAATGTTATATTCAAAATGTTTTGGTTCCTTGGAGATGCTTCCTTTTTTTTCTCAATATAATTTTCAGCCATTATATAAAACTTTTGAATTTATTTTATTTATTTATTTACTTTATTCGTATACCGCTGTTCTCAGCCCTTAGGTGACTCACAGCGGTTAACAACAAGAACAGCAAAAAATTCAATGCTACAACAACACGGTATACATCTTGCCCCACGAAGCTGTTGTGAGAGGTAAAGAAGTGGAGAATCATGTTTGCTATCTTGAACTTACTGGAGGAAATGTGACATATAAATATAACACAAAATAATAATAATAGAGAAATGGTCAGATAGAGGTAGGGAATTGAACGTGAATATGCCAGAATGCAGGCTTAAGTCTTCTTTACCTACTGCTCCTTGAAAAAGAAAAACATCACGTTGTTTAGGACAGAAATCCCGCACCCCACCCCCAATATTGTGGTCTTGTTCAAAGCCTCACTATGAGGTATTTGTGGTTAAATAAAGAAGTTTTTGCACCTTTGGTCTTTCGGTACATATTGCACTGACATTGGGTAATGAGTAATGGAGTAAATTTTCCTCATAGTCTCAGTTGCTTTAGAGTATTGGCCACACTTGGCATAAAATGGGATATGTAATAAATATGCTGAACATATAAAAATAATAGTGATACTGGGGTGACAATTTCAATTTTAGGTCGTGAAGGAAAAAAAGATGTTTGAGACAGATGTAAAAATATATAGAACTATCCAGCTTTATAGCAAGGGGAGAGCAAGCATATATTTCCCATGTATGTACAAAAAAACAAACAAAAAACCCAGTATCTCACATTAAAGTTCACATAGTTGTGCTTTTGGGTGTATCCAAGACTAAATTTCAAGACATTATTTTGGAGTATTTCTTGTCATTTTCCCCCTACTTGTAGGCATAGAAATTAAGCTGAGGAGCAGTCACATTTCAACTGAAGCATAGAAGGGCACAGGAATGTTTTCGGCTCCCTTGCCCTCTCCTAGCTCCTGAATGACATAATAAAAATGTTTATGTGTGACAAATTTGCAGTTCTTGGATGTCTTTTATTAAAATATGTATATTGTGTCCTGTATTAAAAGATTTTGAGGTGACTTACAAATAGTGTTAAAATGGGTTGTTGAAGGCTTTCATGACCAGAATCACTGGGTTGCTGTGAGTTTTCCAGGCTGTATAGCCATGTTCCAGAAGCATTCTCTCCTGACATTTTGCCCACATCTATGGCAGGCATCTTCAGAGGTTGTGAAGTCTGTTGGAAACTAGGCAAGCAAGGTTTATATATCTGTGGAATGTACAGGTGGGCAAAATAACTCTTGTCTGCTTGAGGCAAGTGTGAATGTTGCA